TTTCTGATTATAATTCTATAAGAATATTTTAATTCAAATAGTCACTTAGATTTTATGTGTAAGGTAGCTAAAGTTAGGACCACAAATTAGTTGTTTTGGTAGTGTTTAAATATTCGTTCAAAGTGTAATTTAATCATATAGGATGAATGTACGATGGCCCATCGAAAAGGAGTAGAAGCGGTAGACAGAACTTTAAGAGATATAAGACAAAATGATCGACCCATGGGCGGTATCACAGTTTTATTTTGTGGTGATTTCCGACAAACCTTAACGGTAATAGGATGAATGTACGATGGCCCATCGAAAAGGAGTAGAAGCGGTAGACAGAACTTTAAGAGATATAAGACAAAATGATCGACCCATGGGCGGTATCACAGTTTTATTTTGTGGTGATTTCCGACAAACCTTAACGGTAATACCACGGGGAACCCGAGCTGCTGAGGTTAGGGCGTGCCTGAAAAGCTCTTATTTGTGGCGTGATATACAATCGGTGCATTTGACTATTTATTTGACTATAAACATGCGAGTGGGAACTGTAGATAACCCGGATGATCGTGAATTTTCTGATATATTATTAAAGAAAATACCTTCACCAAAGATACCTATCCACTGCTACACCAAGGAAAATTTATTCTGACGCCTGAGTTATGTTGTATAGTGCAATCCCAACAACATCTTACATCGTCAGTTTACGGTGACGTAACAAATATATTAAATAAGAACAATTCTTGGCTATGCGAAAGGTCCATTTTAACTCCTCGCAATGACCAGGCATCTGAGATTAATAATAAAATACTGTCGAATGTCCAGGGGGAAAGCAAAGTTTATAGTTCAATAAATAGAATGGCAGATGAACAAGAAGCCACTAATTACCCGATAGAATTTTTAAATTCTTTAAATATGCCCGTACTTCCTTCTCATGAAATTTGTTTAAAAATTGGCATTCCGATTATTCTGCTCCGAAATTTAAGACCACCACAAATTTGCAATGGAACTCGGCTTAAAGTAACCCAGTTGCAACAAAATGTAATCGAGGCTCAAATTTTAATAGGTTGCGGTGCAGGAGAAACCATCTTTATTCCCAGAATTCCCATAATACCAAATAATTTTCCATTCCAATTTAAAAGAACGCAATTCCCAGTATCGGTGTGTTATGCAATGACAATAAATAAGGCTCAAGGGCAGACCTTTCGTGTTGTTGGAGTAGATCTCGGTGTCAGTTGTTTTTCACATGATCAGTTATGTCGGTCTTTCCCGGGTTAGCAGTCCTAGAATTTTTTATGTTCACGTTCCGGACGGGTCAAATTTCAACGTAGTCTACCCGGAAGCTTTGCGCTGAAGTATTTTCATTCTATATGTACTTAAGACTCATGTGAAAGCGATCTAAACAATATTACCAATACATTAACATAATAACATACAAGGAGTTACACGCTGATGGTCTCGGGGCACAGTGATAATAATAATATTCTGCGGTTCCTTATTGCGATATTTTTAACAGTATTATATTTCCCTACTAAAATACGAAAGTTAATCTGTCTGTCACATCAAAACCACGGAACCCTGAGGAAGGACATATGCTACTTTTTTACGAAAAACAACGATAACGCGGACGAAGTCGCGGGCAAAAGCTAGTAACAAATAAAAATGTCGTTAAAAAAATTATTTTAATTCTTTGCTGAAGATGCAATTTCAATCTTGATCCATATAAAGCCCCTCCGGCTTATAATATGCAGTCGCTTTCGAGAACCTAATTGTAATTACATTTTGATTTCAGTTTAATTTTGCATGTTTTTAAAAGCATAAATTCGGCTAAATATATGTGATCAATCTTGCTGTCTGAGACCAAGAATTGGCCAAGGGAAGGTGGGAAGGCAACCTATGCGATGGACTGACGACATCACCCAAATAGTGGATAAGAACTGGATGCGCGTAGTGAGGAATCGTGGAGTAGCGTGGAGAGACTATGGAGAGGCCTATCTATACCCAACAATCGGTGAACCCGGGCTTATAAAGAAAACAAAGATCTTAACAGCTTTATAGGCTTGGGGTGGCGAGATCCTTATGGGCTTCAAGCCGGGAAATGGCGAGTGTAAGGTGCAAAGCATCTCCCCCCGGAGGAGTCTCCACTTCGTCGTAGAGTCACTAGGCCACTCGAGCCTGAGAGGCGTCGGCATAATTAGAGGGTGATCTTTGAGAATATACAGGGTGTAAAAATCTCTGACAAAGACTAAAACTACGCATTCTGTACACCCAAACAAGTAATATTACAAAATATTATACGAGGGAATCATTTGTCATTTTAAGTCAATACATCTTTTTTCAGTACGCAATGTATAGCGCGGCGCGCTACTGTAGCGCTACGCAAAGAATGTGCCTGTGTGTATGTGTGTGCGTGTTCTCAAAAGTCTCTTTGACCTTCAATATCTCCATAACCATAAATTTCCCAGGTATGGTCCAGAAGAAAAAAAATATCGTCATGATGTAGAAAGTACGTGGCTTTCGACTTCGTTAAAGGTTTTTTACGCCCTGTATGTATAAAGCTGGGATGTTTTTGAAATTCTGAAACGAGTTTTCTTTGCTAATAATTATCAGAGTGATAAGTTCTGGATTATCTGTCGATATTAGTAATTTTCTCAAATGCCAACTGTGCACAAACATTGTCTTTTATTATTCCAGATGTAGGTCTTTCAAGATCCAAAATCGATGATAAAATGATGAACTCAACTCCCGACACAAAACAAATTGAAATACAACATTAGTTAAACAATTATTAATAAAACAGAGCACAGCTCTTTCTCCATATTATGGCATATTGTGGGTCGGTACCAACGAGTTATTTAATATTGTTAACGCCATCTATCCTTCGACGAGAGAAGCTGCAAACGGTCCATCATCATCGTCCATTCATACATTCATTTCGTACCCATTCGTTACTACATTCACTCATTTTGATTTATATAGATTCACTCTCCCTCTTGCTATTCGAATTCAAAAAAAGACAACGTACGCACATAATTTTTAATAAGATCTGTATTTTACTAAGAATAATATTCTACAATATGAATATCCGATTTTTATTGAGAAATCCACATATAGAAGTCACCAAGCTATCGAACAAATATCATTGGTCGGTACTGCAAAAAAAGAAATAATTTTACGCAATGATAGTTGGATCTTTTAATGTTATTACTTATAATAAGTGATATTGAGAAGGACCTATTCCTCAAAACACAAAAATAGAAGAAAGGTGGCGTTTTAAGTCGTCCACTAAATCTATACAATGTGTTGTCATCAACTTGATTTAAAAATAAACCGGTTATATAATAAGACAGTTAAATACTTTAACGAGACTTTATTATTATTAATGTAGTTAGAATGTTTGTTATTCTAAAGCATCTACTTTCATCACTTTGTAAGTCCATAATGTTTACGCAAGTAAGATTGAGAGTGTACCCGGAACTTCTACTTATTGCTTTGTTATTACAGTCAAATACTCGTCGATGGATACAATTCGACATTAAAGTGGTTCTTATAACTTAGCGTTAAAGTTGACGTTTTAGTATAACGGTGTTGGGGAGTACTCAAATGGTGAAAGCCACTCTTAAAAAGTCAAGATTTAATATCTGAAGTGTGACAAGTCGAGTCTTAAATAGCAATTTTTATGAAATATCAAGGAGACATCAATATTATTGTATAGGTAGGTACTGTTTTTCATATCTGTGGGTCCCCATTATGGATTTCATACCTACAAAAGTGATGACGTCAGAAGTGATCTCCCCCAGGGCAGAGTCGACGCTAAACGATAGCGGCACACGTATTCAGTTATTTTTTAGATAGCCATCTATAATGCGATTCAAATAAGAATAGGAAAGCCAATGACCTCTATCTGTCAAATGTCGCTTGAAAAGTACGGTTTGCAAAAAAAAACTTGGAACCCTTTTTTAGCACTCCGATAATTCAAGAATAAAAATCAAACATTTGTAAACAAACAATAACAAATATTGATAATTAATATCGGTTGATATTTATTTTCACTTATTGAGCTTTGGCCATGAATGGTTGATAACCTAAATCGTCGACCAAATGTCACTGACCAAGTTTCTGAACGCAAACTCGATTTCAAACTTTCGTCTACATAAAGGATGCATGTTTGTATGTGACCTAGTAATAGAGCATGATTATTCATAACAACTCCGGCGGTAATGCAGAGATGAGCGGAATAGAAGAGCTAGATTCTGATTAATGTTTTTTCTGTCTTAATAAATAAATATTATTAAAAATCGGTGTTTTTTTTCTCAATCTTAGTAAATAAATGTTATTAAAAAAAATATCCTTTTTCTCACTTAATCTTAGTAAATAAGTTTTAATAAATAAAAACTTTAGTTTTGCTTACTCTACCTATTTGGTTTGAATTGACAGCTATGACATCACAATATGGCGTCCAGTCGGTCCTATTCTTAGTTGAATCGCATTATATCCTTCTTTAACTTACACAGTTTCTAATGAAGTACACGCCATAAACGAAGTTAGTGATACACCGACTATCGATTTATTACCACCTAATCCTGTATTACCGATCCCCTGGGGGAACCGTTTTATTTTATATTATTCCCGACGGATCACTTGTATCGGGGATTTCGGAATTAAAATTGTTGATGGGTCGGTTGCACGGGATAACTCCAATTATTGATTTTAGGTGTACCTATATATATTGATCTGTATCCGATATAGTTCGCCTGAGTGATTGTGAAGAAATGTAACTTTCGCAAAGCCGATAATCGGATCGGTGACCAAAAATTTATTATATCGAGCTCTTTCGTGCTTCGGGAAGCACATTTAGCCGTCAATCCCGGCTGCATCTGCAGTTATTAGCAGCCACCAATAGTACCCGCTTAGTGGGTCATTGCCCAATCTCCCTATTCCATCCATAGGGAATGCTGGTGCCGCAGCAATTGAGATATTAATACGCTGATGATTATAGAATGATGATAAGTTACCTCAGACGGGTCGTCACAATCCTCCGATTCCGCTGAAACCAGTTTTCTGGTCTCGAAGTTTTGGCCGCGGTTCCTCTGCAGTCTGCCAAGCACCGAGTTCAGCACTTTCTCGGGGTTCGGGACCCTCAGCACGTGCTCAATGAACTCCCGGGCCTCCTCGCTGGAGCTCAGGGAGGACGCAACACATAACGATATGCATAGTGCCTGCCGACAAAACAATGGAAAATTACTTTTGTTAGGTAGGTACTTCAGGGAGTTGTCCCACCGCCAGGAGGAAGCAACTAAGTATCGGCTATTTTCTCGCTCAAGAAACATACAAAAGATACATTCCGTGTAAATAAAAGAGGTGCATATATTATTGATCGCTACTGTTCAAACTGCCGGCGAGAACTCACTTCACTAGTTTGTAACAGAGCTACAATAGCTATCAAAGATAATACTCGCTCAGTGATACTCGTGCATTTTTGCTCAGGACTGTCACCGCGTCGAGTTGTACTCGTCATTATGAAAATGAGCAGGATGCAATGACATAAATGTTCGTCGTTACGATGGGGGGCCAGCTCTATTTATTGCTTTGCGGCTTATTAATCTAAGATTAATACGGTAGAACTTTGAAGAAATAACGTTACCTACAATGGTGCTGCCTTGCATCCTAAGAAATTTTAGAGACAATTCGACACGGCCATTAGGGCCGCGGTAGTATAATAGACAGGACATTCGCCCGGATAGCGAAGGGTGTTCGAGTCCCGTCTGATGCCTGGTCCACGTGGAATATTTTCTAGTAAAATTTTCTGTGAAGTCTTTTTAATATTATTAAATTTGGCCACTGTTGATAAGTAATCTGACATTGGAAAGGCAGTTGTTACTTCTGTGTTGACGGCCATGTTGTTCGAAAAAAAAGTAGATAGATAAATTAGGGTGCGTGTTTTGGGGGCGGAATGAATTTACTGTTTAAAGATTTCCTCCAAAAGTGAAAGTTATTCCAAGATTGACTACTGCCAATGAAATAAGGACTTGCCCCTATTAATGAATTTGTAGGGCCAAGTCATGATTTTTCTGGCAGTAAATTTGAGTTACTTTGCTGAACGATCAATCTACAGAAGAGCCCTCCAAACAATTGCTAACTATGGCAAAAGCTGTGTTTCTGTCGAACGGATAGCTGTCAATTCTTCCAAATTATTGTAAGCGGTACGAAGTTCGTCGGATCAGCTTGTTATACGTAAATTAATATTTTATACATGACTTAGAAATAAATATGAATTTTCATCATACATCCCTGTTTGTTGATAGGCTTTCACCACTGGAAAGCTGGCAAAATCTATATTTTTCTGTTGCTCCCGGTTCAGCATGGAATTGGACTGAGTTAGACTTTAATAAGACTTAGCTTAGCATGTTGTTGAATTTCCGAGTAAGAACTATCTTAAATTATAATTCTTTATTCAAAACAGATTAAAAGCTGTGCACCTATTGAACTTTCGCGCATCTTTTGACACTTCTCTGAGAACAAAGATGCAAAAATCAATTGACGTTAACGAGCCGTGATTGGCAATCCGTGTTCCGCGCGTCGCAGTAGTCGTCTGTGTGGCTTATGATATTGTGCTCTGTGCCGGCGCATACGCAGCGAGTACACAGTTCCATGACTCTAGTTATGTCAGGTGACCGTGCCCTCAGGTTTATGTGGCAAAGGATTAAGGTCTTCGCGCATCCCTCAATACGTAAGTATCTTTAACAACCAATCTAACGAAGTAGATTTTTATTGTTCTTTTTATATTTGTGATTATACCGATCGTATTTTTAAACTTACAGCCTTGTATACAAAAACAATAACAAACTTCATTTTGTTATTATTAAATAATGACTTCAATTGAAAATTGGCGAATATGTGGTTTTTATGTTTTACACGTCTACAAAGTTGTTATTTTTAAGAAGTTAATTGGAGAGCTATTAAGTTTCTTAAGTGCTTTAGCTGTCTGTTTTTAATTACTAAGATAAGCTTCTTGTGGATTTGCTCAAAATTTATTGAATATTTTTTGTTACGTACCTAAAGTAAAATTATTGGGATCAAGCTATACTTATACTATTTCTCCACAATGTATTGCAACTTCACACTCAGCGTATGTCTAAATAATTGGCAATTGACCTCACGACTATTTGGGGTCCCCCACTTTAAAACGAATGTTTTTAAGCAGATAAAATCACGTTTGCTTTTACATCGCATTTCGTCCACTTATTGGTCACACAATCCAAATATTGTATTAATGATTAATGCCTTTATGTTTTATAGAAACCTACTTATTTGTTTTAACTTTGTCTATGTTTGGTACAATAGTAGTAGGTACACAAAAATTTGAGAACAGTTCGGTGCTCCCCCCGCCTTTGAATGATCTTAAAACACCTTGAAGTATAGAATAACACTTTATAAAATATTACCGATTTGTGCATTTATTTCTTTCAGCTATTTTTGTCTGCCAAAAGTTTAGAAAGAATGAGAAGAGAAGCTTAGGTACTTGCTTGCTCATATCTATTCGAAAAGTATTAAAACTGACTAAACTATAAAGACAAAAATAAAATCACACTAATATTATAAAGGCGAAAGTATGTGAGTGTGTATGTTTGTTACATCTTCACGTCTAAATGGCGTTTTTAATAAAATTTGGTATGGAGTTAGCTGACAACCTGGATTAACACATAGGCTACGTTTAACTGCGGGAAAATATCCCTAATAAACCGCGGGTAACACCGCGGGGCACAGCTAGTATTCCTTAATGCAGGCAAGGTGTTATGGAGCAGTTTTATATAAGTAGAAATATTTGTATAAATGGTTAAATATATATGATGACAATTTTTTTTTCTTCGTTTATCAGGTAGATTATCAAAAAGTATTGGACACGTATTTTTTTCTTTTTTCACATAATATAAACATTGCAGAGACATATTGATTTGAAAAGTCACATGACGTCACGTTTGAGTACACTTTAAAGTGAAAATTCACTCAAAAGTGACGTCACGAGCCCCTACTCCCAAACTTTGACGCGCTATAACTTTGTCATTTTTTGGTTGATTGCCCAAAGAAAAAATACGTGTCCATTATTTTTTGATCATCCAACTGACGGACTAAATAGAATTTCGTTTATGTACCCCGTCATCACTCCTATTGTAAAAATAAAAAAACAATAGGGACGATAACGGGGCAAATTAAACGAAATTACAGTAAGTCCGTCAGTTACATTGTTTATAAAAAAATAAAGAACACTTATGTTTTTCTTTGTCAATCAACCAAGAAATTACAAAGATAAAGCGCGTCAAAGTTTGTGAGTGGGGCTCATGCGATATGTCAAATCAGTCATGCTATATTATAAATCAATATATAACTATCTGAAATGTTTTGATTGTGTGCATAAAGAAAAAAACACGTGTCCATACGATAATCTAGCTGAAGTCCAAACACGAATTTTGACAGTTCCGTAATCGTATCGCATCGCCAAGGTTTCTATGAAAACTAAGCAGCGGCCCTACCGGATGTAAGAACAAACTGTCTCCTTTCATTCAGAATTTGACGATGACGATACGATTACGGAGTTACCAAAATTCGTGCTTAGGCCTCTGATGGACGATAGAAAAAAAAGTAAGTTATTATTCCTATTGTTGGTATTCGTCATGAAAACCGGGTGCCCATACCAGGTTTTCAACACTTTAAAACCGGTGTACAAATACTCTAAAATATCGATAATAATTAAGAAGCAAAAAATAAGTACATGAACATGGTATGAACAAAGTACCTTTTACTAAATTATGAGATGAGTGGTTCCGATCATTAAGAATGCCATTTGACATTTATGCCATAACCCCAGCAGAGTGACACAGCATCAATGATATGATTACAAACTTCGTTATCTATAATTGATGTTGATTAGTGATGCAGCGCACCGGACGCATCATTGCTTCAACTGCTGTAAGCCTTAAACGGTTATAGCTATAGAGGTGCCCTGCGGTTTCGTCCGCCATGATTGGAAAATAATGGTTATAGTGAGTCTTGAGAATAATGGTTATAGTGGGTCACCCTGAAAAGATAGACATAGCCAGTGGCGGACTTTTTTATAGAACTTATAAAATTAAACATCTCCGTATATTTCAAGCAGTTTATAAAAACAATCCACAAATGAAAACTGAATTCGTCTTGATAATATTTTTTTAAACAGTGTCACAAATTTCATGCAGAATAAGGAAATATCAGGAAAGAAAATTCTATGTCATAAACACTAAAAGGCAGCACATTCTCCTGCTCGGCATCATCAAGTGGTAGCAAAAAACTTGGAATACTTTCTAAGGTCAGGCGATATTTTACACCTGAGCAGCTCCTTAACCTTTACCGAGCCCAAGTTCGCTCCTGCTTGGAGTACTGTTGTCACCTTTAGGATGAATCTGCTTGGCATCAGCTGGATGCACTGGACTCGGTGGAACACCGTGCGAAGAGACTCATAGGCAATGACACTCTCGTTGAGGCTAATCTCTAGAGTCTTGACCACTGAAGACCGTGTGTTTTATCGGTTACATTTCGGAGAGTGTGCGGAGGTATTGCATAATTTGATCCCCCCTGCCCCTTTTCCACCACCGGACGACCAGGCGTGGCGAGGGCTTTCACCCTTATGTTGTTGAAGTTCCTCCCATTCGCACGAAGCGATTTGCTTCCGCTTTCATTATGCGAACGGCTAGGGAGTGGAAGTCCTTGCCGAGGTATGTTTTCCCGGACCAATATAGTCTGGATATCTTCAAGGCCAGAGTGAACAGGCTTCTTCTAGGCAGGCGTGTACCATCCTAGGCCTCATAATCGCTTTCCATCAGGCGAGATTGTGGGCAAACGCATTGCCTATTATGCATAAAAAGAAACTGACTCTGCCGAAGCTTTCGTAATGAGCACTAACTTCATAACAGAGCGGCGGAGAGTGCCGCCAAGAGTCATCGATCATGCGGACTCGCGGCCCGTTATCATTGACACCAATGGCTAAATATTTTTGGGTTCATTGGTATCCTGCCATCACAACAAGATCACCTACTTTTACATTGAAGGCCTTATCTGAAGGTCATCTTTAACTATCCAGTAGTGTTGATATTCGTGTAGCCAACTAGACCAGAAATGATCTGCCAGTCGCTGAGAAATTCTTCATTGCTTTTTAAGCATCTTCAAATGCATCTTCTTTATTTGGATCTAAGGAAACGGTAGTCAGAGGGCGATCATTCACGTTGTTTTCAGCTTCAATCATTATATATTTATTTTAGGAGAGCTTGTAAAAAATACCACAGAAAGTGCAATCTTTACATACAGAACAAGTATTTCCCACACGCCTCCCACGTATGGAGCTTCTGAAGGATTGAACGTCTACTCTTTGCCCAAATCTCCTAATTGTCTCCCTTACTTACTTACTGACTTCTTCAACTCTTTATCAGCCGACTTGAAGTTAGTGCTGTTATCGGAGTGCATTCGTTTAGGCCATCCACGTGTTACCGTTATACCATGAACTGCTATGAGAGTCGAATTCATCGACAACGAAGAAGCTAGTTCGAGGAAGACAGCTCTTATATACTCAAACAAGTGAAAAAACCACCCCACCTTTTCACATGTCGCCGACCTATGGTTGGCATAGGACCAAATAAATCAATGCACCAATAGCTGAATGGTCTCTAGTGTTGTTGTACTCTTATCTGTGGCAGTCTTACCATCATCGGTAGTACACAACGGGCTCTTCGGATCCTGCATGTAATAAATCATAAATCATAATCTTTATTTGCTAAAAACACGGTATATAGGTATTACACAACGGTTTGAGCACGTGTTTTGCCATTTAAAAAATAGCATGCAAATACATAATATGGAACCAATAAAAAAAGAGATTTATTAATTATAACATTTTTCTGTAGAATTATGAATGTCAGAGTTACCTAATATTATGTCAATAAAATATACACTGTCAACATATTAATATTACAAGAATTCTAAATGTCAGATATAAAAAAAAAATAAAAAGATACATTTATCATAATTATTATAGGATAAGTTAAAACATGTCATTAATTATTATAATTGAAAAAACTTTTTAGGTCAAAAATTGTTTTCATTTAGCCATTTATATAATTTATTGTTAAACATGTTCATATTTAACATTTTTATGTCGGGAGGGATTTTATTATAGATCTCGACACAAAGGCATAAGCAACTTTTCCTATATTTGTCAGACCTTGGGACCTCATTAAATATCATTCTGTGAGGGTCTCTAGGCCGGAAATTATTAACCCTCTTGAACAACTGCTTGTGCCCGTGGACAAACACTGCTAATTCATATATGTACAGCGATAGCAGCGGCAACAATCCAAGACTTTCAAATAATGGTCTACGTGATTGGTCTGGCGGGATTCCACATATTGCCCTAATGCACTTCTTTTGTGCAATAAAGGCTCTATTCTTATCCGTGCTATTACCCCAGAGTATAATTCCGTACCGAAGGATAGATTCTATGTATGCACGATAACACATAACAGCGGTTTTTTTATTGGTTAGGTTTTTTATGCTTTGCAGAGCATACACAAAATTTATTTTATGACTTAACATATCTATATGGGTTTTCCAGTTTGTATCTTTGTCTATTTTTACACCTATTAATTTTAAACTTTCTACTTCTTTGATTTTTGCTACGTCTAATGTAAAATTATATTTTTTATGTTTAGATTGATTAAATTTCATATAATAGGATTTATTAATATTAATTTTAAGATTATTTGCATTAAGCCATTTAATGATCATGTCAATAGTATTATTAATGTCAGATGAATGTGTTCGTAACGAGTCATTGTTTTTAATGTTATTTGATGTTACAGTTATTGATATGTCATCGGCATATAAAACACATTTTTACGAGTCACCTGTGTTATGTCATTGATATATAATAGAAATAAAATTGGTACTAGAACTATGCATGAATGCACGGGCCTAAAGGCCTTACTTCATTGCACAAGCGTAAATTATAGTAATTTCGACAGAGTTCGTCAATCAAAGTTGCAGTGCCGTTATGACCAAGCTTTCTATGCAGATGTTCAATGATAACATTCACTATGTAGTGCTTCGTGTCGAGTACAATAGACGTCTTCAGGTTCTGAGGCAGGTCAGGTCAGGTTTCCTACAGTACTACCTATCCCCTACCTTGTCGAGCTTATTTCGTACTGTTACCTCTTGGACAGAAACAGAACAAAACTGAAAGACACTTTAATTTCGCAGCTCCAAAAAATCAAATGCTTTATTAGTAATACCAGGCTACATGGGAATTGTGTGCGAATTGTCACTTAAGCCATTGAAAGACAGCGATCAGCCCCAATGTCCTAGAAATACGTTTTTTGCGAATTTGATACAGACCTATCTATTTTCGGGCACAAAAATCCGCTTTGCTCTACCAGTCATAAATATTACCTATTTTGACAAAATCTGATAATTTCCATAGCATAAACATATAACAATTACAGTTTAAATCGTTTACAATGATAAACAATTATTGAATGCACGTTATTAAATTAACTTGGGTGAGTGATGATTTGCATTCAGATCGCTATGATTACTCCCAGCATATGTATAACACCCCGCATCCTGTAAATAACCAAGCCAGCTATATTTAGCTTTCATTTAACTAAGCCGCCCGTGACGGGATCACCGATTTATTTATTAGTCGAGGTCAATAAGACTTCTGCTGTTACGAGTTGTTGATTGAAAGTCACGTAAAATTGGAGGTGTTCTATAAGTAATAAGGATAGATGGCATTTTATTATTTTCTGGAGTGAAGGGAGCAGTATGAGAATGAGCGATTTGTAAACTAATAAACGGAAAAAGAAGTTTATCAACCAACGCAGCTAAATACATGAACAAATAGCAACTACTTACAAATAAGGAATATGTAGGTGATATTAGGAATAATCTGTTGTAACAACATTAAAAATAAACATAAGAAGGTACAATTACACAACTACACACGCACGTACAATACGCTACGATTTGTGCTACGAAACAACTGACCGTTGTGATGGAAAAATCTTACTACAAATTTGCCAAGTCCTCAGTTACGATAAGGAACTTTTCGTCCGAATAAAATTCTAAAGACATGTTTTATAATAATAAAATATAGCCCAACCTAAAGTTCAAACATATGTTTCTCTAAATATGTATGTATATTCACGGGATATACATATTTAGAGAAACATATTTATTATTTCGTACTGGCCATTCCATAGTTATCAAAAACTCTAGTAGGTATTATGTTATTCAAAAAAGAAGATTATGAACATAATACTACGACTGCAATTTTCGTTTCGCTGTTCTTTAACTTCAATTTAAGAATTTCTTTCTTGTAGGCGAAAATTTTGCGGGGTTTTATTGTCTTCAAAAAATAAGAAAGAAATACAAAAACACAGATTTTGTGTATTACAGAATAAGCAGAATGGCAGTGAGAAGAAAACACCGTGGCACATTCAAGATGGAGCCCGTACCGGAGAAGGGAATCTTCAATAGCAACTACATAGGGACCAGGTACGTAAATAATCTGTTATTGAAACGAATTTATAATTAATAAAATAGCAAACTATAGTATTACTATCATTATAAGACTATTATAAGCTTCAAAAACCCGAATTGGAACCATTCTTTTAAATGTTTGTTTTTATTAATATATATAGCTGACCCAGCGAACGTGTGTTAAAAAACGGGAAAAGTGTTAAAATTTTGGAGTGTATGCATTTTTAATGCAGAATCATAAAAAAAATTGGGGTAGACCGCCCTTTTCAGTTAGGAGTATGAAAAATAGTTCGTCTTGTTCTCAGACCTACTGAAATTATATTATTTATGTTATTTCTTAAAATAAAATAAATAATACCATAGTGGTCCGTGTCTGTTGGGCACCCAACATAAGGCATTTACCCCCTTATTAATAAACGAAGACTAAGCATGGATTAGTTAATCTATGTTTTGTCTATGTTCATTGAATGAAAATGCCACTTAAGTGATATAAACAAAACACGACGTAACTAGCCTCAGCTTATTCCTCTTTTGGGCACTAAAGTGTCATAGATATTTAAGAACTGCCTTAACTGTCTACGAATATGAACTTATTTAGTTAGCAGTTCAGGCAGCTGAGGAAAATGATCCTTTTTTATTTCAACACTGGAATAGTCATTTTATTACATCTAGATTGCATCCATTTCCCTACAATAAAACGCCATCTGGCGTTGTGTTTGATAGTTTACTATCATACACCTTTGAAATCTATAACGTGGTTCGTGACTGTATTTCGTGGAAGACTGAAGGAATGTATGTTCTGTATTAAAAGAACACGATTAACAATGGTACTGATAGTTTAAACTCGAATAGGTTCTACAAATTTTCAAAATCATTACTGACAAATATGTTTATTTTAGTTTTTGAAAAGAATATAATCTCCACTTCTCTTATTGTTTGTATTGGGGTATACGGGTTTATAAAAGCGTCCAGTAATACTTTTGTTTGTTCAATGGTCATAAGTTACTCATTAAGTTGATTTACAGTAAAAAGTAGACATAATATGACTTAAGTAGGCATAAAAGAGAAAAGCCGAAACTATGTAACACGAGGCATTGTAACTTCAAGTATTATAAGAACCTAAGGTATTAGTAAGGTTTCTAGTAAATTTCACTTTGCCCAAGTTTGCTATAAGAGTGATAAGTAAATGTTTTATACCACCTAACCTGGCTAGGAAACGTAATATTACTTAAGAAGGTATAAACGGTTTAGTCGCAACCATCATATAACCTGTTTTTATAAATTCAAGTAACAGAAAATACTTAAAGTAATATTATAGTTTCCTTAAACTCTTTCTACCTACAAGAGCTCTTGAAAATAGCTAAATATTTATGTTAATATAAAATTGCTATAAAAGTATTTATCTAAACTTATTGACAGCTACTTCATTCACTTATAAGAAACCCTTATATATAATAGCAATTGGTCGATACAGCGGGGCTAAAATTTACTTTTATGTTATTCAAAGCAATATAACTATGTGATATAAACATTGTAACTCTTATTTTCGCTTAAAAACATTAGATACATAATGTATAATGTCTCTAAACTCTAAATGTTATGTTTTCTGATTTGATTACATGCATATTCCAGTGATACCTATAGTCAGAAAATAAGTAGAGTACAGTGCAAATAATAACAAGCTTTTACAATTAATTGTAGTTTTATTAAAAATGCCTTACATAATCATCAGTCCACTAACCTGATCAAAAGCAATTTGTAATAATTTTTGTAATAAATTTAATTTTTTTTAAAAATAATATTGTTCAGTGTCCTTCATATAAATTTTTTGAATAAATCTAAAACATCAAGAATTTGTTCTCAATTTTACACCCTTATTCGCCATTTTGGTGAAAGGGTTTATTGTTTAAAAAATGTAACCCTAAAATATCACAATCTTTATATTCAAGTCGAACCATTATTAAACCAACCCACTTTAACATTTACTCTTACTATTTAAACCCCTATTCTGGTATAACAAGCGATACAATAGTTCTAGCTATAGGCCATCCAGCACGTCTTGCTCGTTAATAGTATTAATAGGAACCTAGGGTAATAAGTAATAGAAGCCATCCTTAATCAAACATAACTTAAAAATAATTCAGGATAAAACTAGATTAAAATCCTTTCCTTTTATAATTTTCAAATTTTAAAACGCAGTATATTTTCTACTACTGTACACAAACACTGTAAAAACCCAATTTTTATCTAAATGTAGATTTAGTGTATGCCCCGCGTAATAAAATACAAATAATTTTTACTTCAAATATCACTATTTTCTAGGACCAGCAAAACTGAGATGCTAAACATATATTATTCTCTCAATAAAGTAACCCTCGCAATAAATTTTAGCCATATAATGAACAAATGAGTATGGTGTGCCGCAAGGAAGCATCTTAGGGCCGACGCTTTTCCTCGTTTATATAAATGGATTATCTGAGGTAAAATTGCCACATGGTGAAATTATTTCATATGCGGATGATACTGCTCTTGTGTTTTCTGATGTATCTTGGGATAAGGTTTTTGGCAATGCTCAAAATGGTTTTAACATTATAAAAATGTGGTTATCTGAAAATAAACTAACATTAAATATTGCAAAAACTAAATATATCCAGTTTTCAATTCGACAAGCTACATTAAATAAAGAATATAAAATTTTAGCGCATGCCCGCTCCTCGTGTGATCTGGATTGTTCTTGTGTGAGCCTTGAAAAAGTAAACAGTTTAAGATACCTTGGGGTTATTATTGATGCTCACCTCGATTTTCGTGAACATATTGAATTAGTAAGTGCTAGAGTACGTAGACTTATATATATCTTCAAAAATATTAGACACATTTTAGAACCAAACCGCTTGAAACAAATTTATTATGCATTGTGTCAATCTCTTCTTACTTACTGTATAGTCTGCTGGGGTGGGGCGGCAAAAACAGTACTTAAGAAATTAGAAATCGCACAAAGGGCAATACTAAAAATCTGTACTTTTAAACCTTTTATCTTTTCAACAACTGAATTGTATAGTTATTGTGATGTTCTTACAGTCCGCCAACTTTTTATTTTGAACCTGGTAATCAAACAACATGCTCAAACAGAATTTAATCCTAAAATGCAATCTACTCGCAGAGGATTCATATGCCAATTTAAAAACAGGTTTTCGACTGCTTTTAGTAATAGGTTCCCTACATTTCTAGGACCTCTAATCTATAATAAAATAAATAAAACACTAAACATATATCCTCTAACTATTTATAAATGTAAAATGACAATAACGTCATGGTTAAAAACACTTACATATGATGAAACAGAAAAAATATTGCAGGTCATTAAATAATTTAGCTCATATGTAACAATACATAATAATATACATAATGTAGTACAGTCCATACCATACATATCATATTATTATACGCAAAACTCACTAGCACACACACACACACACACACACACTCACCACACACGCACACACACACACACACATTTTTTGAATATATATGTCAGTTTCTTGTCCATTCCATTCCATTTAATTTTGAATGTAACGGATTTATAATACCATATGTGCTAAGGGGATTGGCGCTGTATGCCGTAATACAGGCATTTTTGCCTAGCTCGGCAGCAGATAAATATGTAATTATGTTAGAGATATTAGTACTGTTTTAGCCTTATAAGTTAAATTGTAAATCAACTCTTACTGGAAATAAATTATATTATTATATTATAAATAAACTTGAAGTTATTGACAATCCGTTATTTTATCTCCTTAGTTCGCTATCATTTTGGGACATTATCACAAAAATAAAGTTACCCTTTTAGAACTAAATGTATATGCAAAAATATACAAGAAGAAAATCACGCTATAGCCCTTAGTTGCTTATCAACACTGACCATAATACATAGAGCAAATTTAAGAAATAAATGGATCTGAAAATGAACTAATATATTTTTAAAAAGAATATACCAGCAATATTTTATGACTTGTGTACTGCCTACAGTTTTCATTATAACCATAATACAGATATCAATGTGCTTGAGGTAGCAAGAATTATATTAATACCACCATAATAGATACAAGAAATTGTTTGCCACTAACGCCACTCTATAACTGTGTATTGTGTACTCTATAACATGTACCTAACTCTCAGTGTTAAAAGAGTGAGCATTATAACCATTACATTACTTATAGCGCTGTAAGACGTGGGCCCAATCGAGATTTTGTAAGGGGTTACGACATGCTCTAGCACCAATTGCTTAAACCTTTATATAAATAAAAGAAAATCCAACACACACACCAATTAGCCTAGCCCCAAAGTAAGCACTATAAGGCTTGTGTTATGGGATACTAGGGTAACGGATAGAATACATATACTGTACATATATAAGTATATTTATTTAGAAATACATATTAAACATCCATGACATAACTCTTGCTTGCTAAAATCATCAATTCTTATTAACAAAATGTTAGTTGGGATACTACCTATTCATACAAGTTTATGTCAAGTATTCAAAGTTGTGAATTGTTTAAAAAGTTAATTGATAAGTCTATACTTTTATCATTATTGTTGAAAATAAATAAAAAAATATTAAGACGAAGGTATCTTTTTACCTTAAATATGAGGATTCTGTAGAACATTGTTCCTAGTCTTCTTATTTCCTTTAAATTTCAATTTGTTTTAAACTTTCCACTCCAAGTCCTGAGCTTTTGTGAATGATTTTCCTAATTGTCAACTCTTTTATACCGTAAATAATCTCAGTCCACTACAATTGTTCAAGTGTTTCCATAACGATATTCAGCTTAATCCTATAGCGTTATAATAATATGGACTTGGCTATTCGTTTCAACTATGCAGTTAGGTTAGTATGTATAAGGTACCTATGTTATTGTGATAGAAACATAAAAATATTACTGTTCCTATGAGCTTACATGCAAAAAGATCGAACGGTAGCTAATTCTTTACTAGATAGCACATACAAAGGGCTGTAGAATCAACAGAGGCAATACTCATAATATTTAAATTTTAGCACATATACCTACTGATCATATTAAACAAAAATATCTTAGTCGTTTTTATATAATTTCTTTCAGAATTTCATTTTGATATGATTTCTGTATAATAATATATTTTGTTATATAGCAACATATTTTTTATATAGTTACGAAAAGTTTTCACTGTGGGTACCAAGAAAAAAACACATATTGATCACATGGACTCGGTAAATTAAATAATTTTCTCTCGATCAAGGGTCTTGACGTAAGTAGGTATTCTCAATACGAATATCATGAACATTCTTAATTTTATTTATCATGTACATAGCAAGAAGGTTAAACAATAATATCAACCCGTTTATGAAATTAATCAACCATGTAAGATACTATCATTCCATTACATAAAGTGGAGTTAGCGCGCTGGCCTACGTCGCCACCGACTTACTTGGCGAACATTCCAACCAATCAACGAACAAAGCTCTTTGCTGGTGACTATATTCTATGTCACACTATTCAGAAATGGAATTATTTTCCTTGGCCGCACATGTGTTTCCTACTTGCTACAAGGACCTCCTTCAAAAGAAGCGTGAAGAAATAACTTACGGGCCTGGCAAGGTAGTAGCCAGTGTGGCAGTAAACTGCTGCACCAGCAACCTTCGCGCTAAGACCCCACCACCACCAGACATGTTTAATTTTCGTTCTTTACTATAAACTTGATATTATTAGTAAGATACTTAAATTTATTTGAAGTAAAAATATTTCATCTGTATATTTTTACAACTAAGCATATATATAAGTTTTGTTGCTTTTTAAAATTTGTATAAATGGAGATTTGTTATTTTGCTACCGTATTCCACGTACTATCAATATCTAAGCTCAGGTATTACCAGAAATCTGTTAATATGGTACAATATTTTCCGATAACGTATCTATTTACTACAAAAATGACAATCTCTTGTTGTGACGTAACTCTTTTAAGAAGGTATACCTACTTAGTCTACGATACCTATAAATTAAAATATTTTTTATTTTGTAATCAGCACACAGTGGAAAAAATGGGACATTTATTTTAAACCCCAAATTTAAATATCTTAATACCATTTTGTAGAAAACAATTTTCAAATTAAAAATATATATAAGTACCTTAAGTCTATATTATTTTCTCAAAATATAAAATCGAATAGATCTGTTATTTGTTATCGTTATTACAAAAATAAACAACAAAAAGTAAATGTTTTTTTATCACTACTATATAGTCTTGCTTCAGCATTATCAAAGGCAATGTGTCCATGTCTACTGTTAAAAAAAAGAACCAGTGTTCGAAATGTGAAAACTACGTAAGATTTGTTTTTAAAGACTTTCTTTGCCACCAATCAGTTTGTCGATTGTTAACTGGTTGTTAGTATTTTAATGGGAAGGTCTACATGTTACCATCGTTTTCAAAAGGTTAATTTTTCTTTATTAGAGTACTCGACGAGAGACAGATTATGACGCTGTTATCATACTTGTTGATACTCTCTTTGATTATTCCCGGCAATATCGTAATTGGGTAAATGGCAATGGTCAAAATGTAAATAACAGCCAGATTAAAAAATTAATTAAACGTAATGGCCTTTTGTTCTTTTAATAATAACGTTTGTCATTTTTTGTCGAAGCTTAAAACCTTTGTGGCCATTGAAGATTGTCAACAATAAAACTAAAGATTTCATTATTAAATGGTAAAATAAATTTTAGCAAATCGTTTTTTCATTCAAAATATAACGTACTTTTGTTTTTTTTTGGGACTCGGGAGATAAAAAGGTCGTTTAAGGGGTGAGTAGCAGAGGTATTACCAGAGCTGTTTTATATAAAAATGGTAATTAGCAGGCAATTTATGTAAGTAGCAAGCAGGTAATTTCTATTTACATAATAGTAAGATATTAAGGTAAATATTACCAATGATCTTCTATGGAATAATGGACTTATCACCTAATGCAATAAGAAAGCCTAAACATGAAACACGTCTAAAATTGCACCATAACAAGCTACGACAGCTCTGTCCATACATTACCACTGTTACCTCAATCTTGAAAACCATCTCCGTCTATAGGTAGTAATGTACACGTCATTCAGTAGTCGGAGTTACGTATGTTGATATTAGATGTCAACTTGAACAAAAATATCTGCTGAGTAGCAGTAGTCTTCAAAAAAAAATTTTTTTGAGATAATATTTATTTTTATAGTTATTCAACTAAAACTAAAATCTGAAATATTTTAAGTAATTAAATTATTTATGATATTATATTATGATATATTTTAATACATATTAATACAGTTTCCTTGTTATCAGAAGGTCCTAAGTACAATCACGCATTCTTTAAAGAATAAAACTCGTCTGTTTAGACATTTTTAAGAAAATTATATCGGCGCCTGGGTCAGTTATCTGCTTTTCGATAGTACAATCGAACCAACTGATTCCTGACCCACTTGCCCGATAATTCGCATATAAATATCAAAACAGATAAGTTTTCCTTTCAGAATACATAATTGCACTAAGGGCCTTCTAACTTAACCCAACTTAACTACAAGCAAATTGTTTTAATATAGACCAAATATATTTGAAATTTTATCTTTATTTTCAATGTTATAGATAAAGTTCGAATATGAGTTAGAATTTCGAAATCACTTTCAAATCGTACCTACATGTAACAGAAACTCTTTCAATTTCTTGTCATTATAAAAAACGATGGTAAACTAATAGAAAAATCCTTAGTCCATAGGCAAAACTACAAATAATTTAATGTCAAAATTATGTCACAGGAAGGCGGCAAAAATTGCGACGCCAAATATAAAATAAAAAGTTTGTTTCCAGGGAAACGTACATTTAAGCCAAAAACTACCTTGGTGTTTTGAAAGAGTTTTAACAAAATAACCTTAGGTGGGTCAGGAAAAAAATTGGCTGATCGTACTGTATACATGAACCATGAAAGCATTAAACTCTTTTTTTCTGGGCAGTCGTGTAAAAAATACAGAGGAATTGTGAACTTTCTTGAAGTCCATTAAAAGTGGTGACAATCAAGCATTAATTACTCTGTGCAGGGCCAGATTTAAGGTACGGCCGGCGGGGCTGTGGCTCAAGGGGCCCCACAAGAGGGGAGATCACCACTACTACAGGGGGCAGGTTTAAATAGTCAGGGGCCAGTGCCAGATTTGAAGTTACGCCACCGTAAGGGATCTCCCTCCTTTGTTGCCCCATCGTCACATCTAAATCCGACCCTGGCTATTTGTAATAGTGAATGGCCATCATATACTATACACGCTTGCGGTAGCGGAGTGCTGAGATCTTAATTAGGTTAGGGGTTATCTAATTATCTACGACAAGAAATCATTTGCCCAATCGCGTATGCGTTAACGCATACCTGTTCATACTTAATACATGTAAGATTACCTATGCTATGATACAGCCAAAATTTATTACTCTAGTTTAGTTCTAGTTTTTGTAATATTGTGTGCCTGATAAATTTATGATTATTTCTTTATTTAGGTACCTAATTTAAATAAATTAGTTAGTTCTTTTAAGTAACATTTATACTCGTATGATTAATTATTACGACTCCTCCATCGCCTGTCCGAACCAGATATCCAGTCATAAATGTCTAAGCAATGATGTTTTTATGCTAACTTGCTTTCCTTTTATTTCCAGCGAACTGCAGGGAGATATTATCACCCCAGGGGTACATGGCGTTTTCAGACAGGTAGGTACGTGTTATTATTGTACGGCATAGATAACTTCACTGGTCGTTCAGTGTACTTAGCAAATCACCCGTTTGAATTTCCCGTAGCACAATGAACGCTACACCGGCACCGCTACGAAGCACTACACGACACTTTAAACGTGTCTTAATTTGGTCTCAATTGGCTTTCTTTCTGACGCGGCTCTTGTTATTAAAACACAAATTAATGTTAATGTAATAAAATAAACAGGCAATGATGATACGAATGGTATATTATTGTGACATTTTACGTATGTACTTTATATCAAAATTGCTAGAAATCGTAATCAATCTATGCGACATCCGGAATGCTAGAGGACCCAATGACTTACAAGCATTTGTTCCTACTTTGCATAATATGCAGAGGAAATGGATGTATGTTGTGCTATTGCGCTTTGGGACGTGTGCCATAGACTTGAAAAGGTGCTTAAATCCGGTGGCGCAGTGCGCTAAGATCTGGCCGACAATATCACGGTCAATAGCCGTCTCTTCTGCATTGAGTAACGTCCTAAAAAAGGTTCTTCCCAAGCAGCAGATTCTGTTCTTGTAATTATCCGGAGTAAAGAATAGCTCAATAGCAAGACTGTAAAATCAAAATCATAAGCCCAGTGTGCTAGATTTTCAAAATACGCACCTGCATTCGACGCTAACTGCTGAGCATAGGCCTCCTTGAAAAGTGGAGATTTAACCTCAGACTGATCGGTCCTGTCTAGGGTTGCCACCTTTTTTATGTCCAAATAAAGTACATCGGATATTAAAGATAGAAAAAAAGTACATTGCGTCCAAAATAAAGTACTTTTTATTCCACTTTATTAGTAGGTAAGCTTAAAAATATATTTTACGCTGCTTATAGCAACTTTTAATAAATAATTTGTGGCTACTAAAAATCTGTAGTTCTTATCCGCAATGGGAAAGGCCATTGTACAAAGCCATACAGCCGGGACAATGTTAAAACAAAGGGCGACATATCATACATACTGTTGTTCCGTTTTACGCAAAAAATCTTCCTATCCTCTTTTTGTATTAAATTTGTGTTAAATTAATCCCCAAGTAATCAAATCATATTAAATAAAGAATTTTCGCGTACTTTATTGTTGGCATAAAGTATAGAGTACAATTACCCGAAATAACGTATAATACTTTATAATAAAGTACGGGTGGCAACCCTAGTCCTGTCCCTTAAAAGATTGTTGGTCCACTTGGTGGGGGGGCTCCATACTGAGCGTAGATCGGTGCGTGGTGGTTACTCGAGAAGCCGCCCCAATGGCTATTGTTATTCCACGCTGTGTGTCCCGTGTCCCGTTCCGCTCGCTGCCACTTCAACTGTTAAGTTCTGACGTTTTCCTCAATTCTGATGCTACCCCACACGGTAAGACCGAGAATCGCACTCTCGGTTGTCCGCTTTGCTACCTCGAGCCTTCATATGAGATTCATAAACACCCAAGAACATCTTACTCTCGGAATAAGCCGCTACACCAGTTACCAGTTTACATATATTTTAATGTTATAGATAAAGTTGGAATATGAGTTAGAATTCCGAAATCACTTTCAAATCGTACCTACGTGTAACAGAAACTGTTTCAATTTCTTGTCATTATAATAAAAGATGGTAAACTAATAGAAAAATTCTTAGTCCACAAGCAAAACTACAAATAATTTAATGTCAAACTTACAGGAAGGCGGCAAAAATTGTAACGCCAAATATAAAATAACAAATTTGTTTCCAGGGAAACATACATTTAAACCAAGAACTACCTTAGTTACATAGATAAATGATTGGTCGCTTGAAGCAAGACCAATCATTCATATATGCTTAGTTCGTTATTATTCAACAAAGCAAAAATACACTACTTTTATAAACTTGTAAGTCAAGTAACAAGTGCTATTTGCACTTGTTTTCAGTATCTAGGTATGTGTAGTCTAATTTGGCCTCTTACTAATAATAGTATAATTATTACTTGTAGAAAATGAGTAGAAAACCTAAGCAGAATACATGATTTCAAGCATTTTAATATTAATAAGACAACCTTTAGAGTATTGTACTAAAAGCGCATGAGTGAAAACGTATAGCCGTACGGGCTGAAATCATAATAATCTAAAGATTATTACAATTTTATGGTGAAATACCTATATTATCTTCCGTGACTTAGTTACAAATACTCATATTAATCATACTAACATTTGCCCCACCGAGATGCGAACCTCTGAGTAGGCGACACGTTGCAACCTGACGTACATACCACGGAGGTCGTCAATAAAAGTCATAACTATAACAGTTAATTAAGGTTTTTTTTAATAAGAAGCTAGAGGTTGCCGCCGAAACCTAATCATGAAGCGGGTGTCCACCCGGCGTGTTTGTTTCATGATAGTCATAGAGAAGCGTTGCATGAGGCGGAACTCTCGCGCAGCGGGTCTCTATCAAATGACATAAAAACCGCACGCCGCGCGGATGTCCGCTTGATGCCACGCTTAACGCAGCGCACGCTTCGTGAAAGGTATTCAGATATGATTCAGATGCAATTGTCAGAGAATAGTTAGAAAAAATAGAAAAATACTTTATTTGTTCTCCCACATAGAATTACATAATGGTGAAAAGTAAGCAAGTTGTATTTCCGTCTTCTTATGGACGCCCACTTCTGGATTTGGTCTTCTTCTAGGGATTACATCCAAAGACCATGTACTTTATTTATACTGTGGGTTCCTCGAATTCGCTTGATGTCCTGGTTAACGGTGAAAGTTCGCCGTTGAAGCAACTTGGGATCCTAACGTTCGGCAGACCGATGGCCACCTAATTAACTGTCTTGTTCTTTTCCGGATTCTAATTGGATCACATAAAGTAATACCAAGCAAAGCCCTCTCCATCGCTCGCTGGGCGACTCTAAACCTTGTTTGGTCCGTAGTCAGTGACCATGTATCTCTTAGATACGCACTGTTCTAGGGCTTTGATCATTTTTTTTGGCCATTGAAATACCTACATAAAGAATAATTCCGAAGAGAAGACATCGCACGTCACAAACAATAGTGTATTATGTCGGAAAATTCGTTTATTTTTTTATTTGCGTTACGAAAACTACATTTTTTTCTGTATAAACTGGTAAGACAATTGTATTTTAATTCTAAATAGTTATTGAACACATGTCTTTCTTGACTGTTCATGAACGTCATTTTCGAGACAATCAAGACAGTCGCATGTTAGTTATGACCCGTCCAGTCGCCAATTTCTAAGCAAAATAAAAGATTGTGAGTATTCTAAACCGTATTATGTTAAGTTAATACCCTATTGCCCGTTCGGATTAATACAAGTTTGAAGTTTTATCTATACTTATAATAAATCTGTAGAGAGGTCAATTCTGTACATGAAATATATTTTCAAAATAACTATCAGGGGGTGATTAGTGATCGAAACTGATGCCAAAAATGCAATCAGTAAAATTTTTGTCTGTCTGTCTGTCTGTCTGTGTGTTTGTTCCTTATAGAAACAAAAACTACTCGACGGATTTTAACGAAACTTGGTACAATTATTCTTCATACTCCTGGGCAGGTTATAGTATACTTTTCATCACGCTACAATCAATAGGAGCAGAGTAGTGAAGGGAAATGTTGGGAAAACGGGAGAAGTTACTCCATTTTTTAAGCTTCCGTGGCGTGTGCAGCCTTAATGGTTAAAGTTACATAGAAATCATGTATGACGGAAATATTCTACATAAAATTGTCTAAAAAATATCCCGCAACAGCATATGTCTATCTTTTATGGTTGACTCACAATAACACGTGTAACTCCTGATAGCTTAGCAGTTCGGAGCATTCTGATCATATTTGTTTACTCTTACGTTTATAATACTCGGTATAGAAACACCAAACTTATACATGAAATAAGCCATCACACCGTCGCACGTGAATACTGAATCATGCTATAAGGATTATTTTTGTGTAACGGTTGCCGCACTCGACACGGGTCGCGGCAGCGGTAGGGTATCAAAGGTCCGAGAGCGAGCTGTCTAAATTTGTTTTCTGCGTCGCTCCCACCCTGGGGGACGATCGCTTCCGATGAAGCCTTAGAGGCCTTCCCGGCCAGAGGCAGCCCCTACGGGTGTTTTTTAGTCAGTACGAGTCTGACATAACCTTGCAGCCGGCTGTAGGGTATCCATGAGGATTTCTCATCTGCTCCCCGCCTGGGAGACCGAAACCGTGCTTATCAGCGCGACTTTTAGTCTTTAAATAGTTTATTTGAATTTCTTTTGTTGTTATTTTGTAAAACAGGTATTAGTTGTTTTGGTAGTGTTTAAATATTCGTTCAAATTAAAAATTATTAAGCGTAGGTACTTTTATTAATTAAAGTAGTTATAAGTATTTATTTTTAAGTGAAGGAGGTATAGGTAGATAGTATTGCACAGGCGTTTCAGCTTTATTTTCATTTCTTCTTTGTTGTGAGTTGTATATATTTCTGATTATAATTCTATAAGAATATCTTAATTCAAATAGTCACTTAGATTTTATGTGTAAGGTAGCTAAAGTTAGGACCACGTATAAGTTGTTGTGGTAGTGTTTAAATATTCGTTCAAAGTGTAATTTAATCATATAGGATGAATGTACGATGGCCCATCGAAAAGGAGTAGAAGCGGTAGACAGAACTTTAAGAGATATAAGACAAAATGATCGACCCATGGGCGGTATCACAGTTTTATTTTGTGGTGATTTCCGACAAACCTTAACGGTAATACCACGGGGAACCCGAGCTGCTGAGGTTAGGGCTTGCCTGAAAAGCTCTTATTTGTGGCGTGATATACAATCGGTGCATTTGACTATTTATTTGACTATAAACATGCGAGTGGGAACTGTAGATAACCCGGATGATCGTGAATTTTCTGATATATTATTAAAGAAAATACCTTCACCAAAGATACCTATCCACTGCTACACCAAGGAAAATTTATTCTGACGCCTGAGTTATGTTGTATAGTGCAATCCCAACAACATCTTACATCGTCAGTTTACGGTGACGTAACAAATATATTAAATAAGAACAATTCTTGGCTATGCGAAAGGTCCATTTTAACTCCTCGCAATGACCAGGCATCTGAGATTAATAATAAAATACTGTCGAATGTCCAGGGGGAAAGCAAAGTTTATAGTTCAATAAATAGAATGGCCGATGAACAAGAAGCCACTAATTACCCGATAGAATTTTTAAATTCTTTAAATATGCCCGTACTTCCTTCTCATGAAATTTGTTTAAAAATTGGCATTCCGATTATTCTGCTCCGAAATTTAAGACCACCACAAATTTGCAATGGAACTCGGCTTAAAGTAACCCAGTTGCAACAAAATGTAACCGAGGCTCAAATTTTAATAGGTTGCGGTGCAGGAGAAACCATCTTTATTCCCAGAATTCCCATAATACCAAATAATTTTCCATTCCAATTTAAAAGAACGCAATTCCCAGTATCGGTGTGTTATGCAATGACAATAAATAAGGCTCAAGGGCAGACCTTTCGTGTTGTTGGAGTAGATCTCGGTGTCAGTTGTTTTTCACATGATCAGTTATGTCGGTCTTTCCCGGGTTAGCAGTCCTAGAATTTTTTATGTTCACGTTCCGGACGGGTCAAATTTCAACGTAGTCTACCCGGAAGCTTTGCGCTGAAGTATTTTCATTCTATATGTACTTAAGACTCATGTGAAAGCGATCTAAACAATATTACCAATACATTAACATAATAACATACAAGGAGTTACACGCTGATGGTCTCGGGGCACAGTGATAATAATAATATTCTGCGGTTCCTTATTGCGATATTTTTAACAGTATTATATTTCCGTACTAAAATACGAAAGTTAATCTGTCTGTCACATCAAAACCACGGAACCCTGAGGAAGGACATATGCTACTTTTTTACGAAAAACAACGATAACGCGGACGAAGTCGCGGGCAAAAGCTAGTTTAAAATAATACTCTCTGGCCTGTTCAATTTAATTTAATATGTTCTTTGCAACGAAATTATTTTAAAATGATACTTTACAGCCTCCGATTTGCTTGAGATAATCCTAAACTGCTTGTCAATTTTATACTGCGGTTAGGAGTTTCAAGTTCAATATCCTACCTTTTAATCAAAACATAACTTCTATACTTTATAATATTAACATAAAAATTTCATACACTCTTTTGCAAAAGAAAATGGGCACCTTAGGAAATTTACGTTGTAAGGACGATTTTAGTTAATTAAATGAAATTTAATTGTCTACGTTGGTCTTTATACTTATAATCGTCTAAATTGATACGCGTGAAGTGAATTCTGGCAAATATTTTTATAAATTTTCGATAAATTCTTTAAAACTGATGTACACGGTCAAACAATAAAAATTGTTGGCAACAAAGACAAGAAGTTTTTTTTTTAATTTAATAAAGTTAAAAATGCAAAAACCTAATAACGAGACCTCTTTCCAAAACTTGTGACACAGCTAAAATCTTTCTGGGCATGCTTTTCACGATGTTTTTAATAACGTTTTAAGGAATACGTTACTACTGTTCTCCAATGACTCTTTTTATCTCCCTGATGTTTTGTGGAGCAGGTTGCATTGACCTTACCCATCTCTTTAGATCATCCCAGACAAGCTCAATTGGATTGAGGTCAGGACTTTTCGCTGGTCAATCAAAGCAATACCAACTTCTTGCATGTACGCTTCCACGTCGCCAGAACGGTACGGGTGAGCATTGTCGTCCATAAAAGTAGAACCTTCCTCAAGTGCAGTCTATGCGGGCTGTGCAAATGGAACCAGGACTTCCTTTATGTACCGGTGTGCATTTAATGTTCCATTTTTTATGAAAAGTAACTCCATACGCTCCGTCATTTCTTCGAAACACGCTTCCTGTGGTCTTCGCAGCACTAACTAGCGTGGGTCCTATCCACATAAAGAGATTCGAGCTTCATCAGAAAACATTACTTTTCTCAGTCCTCCAGAGACCATGAAGCACAGTTAAGAGCAAACTGAAGACAGGCAACACGGTGCTCACGGAGTAATTTAGGGTCCCGGGCTGGGCGGTAACTCCTGATATGGGTAACCAAAAGCCTCCTCCTGACGGTCCACAAGCTAACTTCTTCTCCTCTTACTTCTTCTTCTTCTCTTGCTCTTCTTCAGGTTTACACTTGAAGCCCTACAATTTAGCAACGCCTAACTTACCAAAAAGTATTCATCCCTTGATTTTATGCATCGTTTTCTTACCGAACCGGGTCTTCTTTTGACCGAACCGGTCTCTTGATATCGTCGCTAAGTCCTGTGGACAGTTGAATGACTCACATTTAGGCGCTGAAACACGTAAGTTTGAGAACAATCTTCTTCAAGGAGGGCAATTATTTAACTGGTTCTTATCACTTTATCACTCATATCAGAAAGTCATCGTTCAGTCAAAATCATTTAAATAAGAAAACTTAAAAACTACTTAATGTTTACAATATACAATTCAAATTACCTTAACCTACTTAAGTACTAAAATAATATAAAATTTACAAAATGAAAAGAAATATTCTTTATTTTGCAGGAAATATACAAAAATTTTCAAAATTTTAGTAAAAAATCATTTCAGCAAATTGAACCTTTAGTAAAGCAATTTTACAAAATCCGCAATAATATTTATTTTTCTTTTGTTAATATCAAAAATTTGGACGTATATAATGCCAGGATGCTTCAAATAACATGCCAATACATCGTCAAATGATTTAAACCTCTTCCTTAGAAAAAAAAACTAATCCCCATTTTTGTCCAAAGCAGTTAATACCCGTTATCATTAAGATATAGTAGATTTTGGTCAAGCAAGAGGGTATTATCTGTACCCAGTCACATAAAAGTACTTTTAAAAATAAAAACTACTGTTGATACACTAACAAAACTTCTTAGCACAAAGAAGGATAATGTACGTTTAAATCAAGCTATCATTTTACAAATTTAAACATGTAGTTCCGCTTCTATGATTTTTTAAAACTTTGAAATGCGATATCTCAAAATACTGTTTTTGAAGATAATAAATACCCTTTTGTTTGTGACATGCGACATAGTGAATTTTACCGAACGATTTGAACTTTTCAACAGTTTTAAACAAAAACAAACTTTATGGGTCCGACGCTAGGTGGTGTTTTTGTAGTTGTAAACTGTAATAATTTCCGAATTCATTATAACGAAATGAAAATACAACATTCAAACTCCACTGAAAGCAAATAAAATCAACAGTCAGTTGGTCACACATTAAACGATTCTAAAATTTTAGATGAGGGAACAGAACAGCGGCTTGTTTCATACAAATCAATTTAATTTGCTGAATTTAAACATAAGAGTGGTAAATATTATATTATATATTAAAATATTAATAAATTATACCTCCGTTTTATGTTTAGAAATCATTTGGAGCATGCGACCGTCAACTTACGACTTTATCATCATACGCACGAGCTGCGCGTTTGTCGATCGGAACAGCGGCAGTAGGATTCGGAAATCTATTTAGTAATCGTAACAAAATGGCGTCGGTTGCGAATGCTACATGCCCGTGGCCCAATACTGAGGATGATTACGAATTACGGGATATTATCGGTAAGCATTTATTCACTTATGATCCAAAATAGTTCCTAAAGCTGATTTATATAAAACACTGATAATTCAGGCTTCAAAAATGCACTGCGGTTTTTTGGTTAAAATTAAAATTTGTTATCTTCCACATCACAACTTGTCCTTTTCCTTTTTAAAGATATTACTGTGTTTCATTAGTTTAAGTTTATTTTAGATGCCTACCCTTACCACATCATAAATAAGTGGTTTACACAATGTATAGTTTAACATGTTCTTAGAAAGCTGTCAACAAGGTACCCAAATACCAGCCATCCATTAGAATTTAACATAACATTTCGGTCTACTGATAATACTATTAATGTCTATTTTCATTCCTGGCTTCCTGGATATTTCATAAATTAACAATATACTTACTTTATTACAAATTCATAATACTAACATAAAAAAAGAAGACACTGGTGTTGATTCTGACATGATTCTCTTAACTTAAACTTAAATTTGACAACATTGTATCCTTGTCATTCTCTATACAGAATGAAAAGGAAAGACTGATGATAAATTTAGTTTTAATTTTAAAAAATCATGCCAGAATCGACACCAGTTTCCAAGTTATCAACAACTCATGAGATTTGTAGGAGACCTTTAATTTCAAACTATTTACTGATAGAAATGATATATAAAATTCATCCTAATTTGAGAAAAAACATTTATACTTACTACCGTACTTCACCAACAATCAACAAGAAATTTTATTTAATTGGAAAACATTCTTACACCTTATTTTTGGCAATTAAATGCTGATACTTTTAAAATGATAACTATGTATAATGCTAATTTACTGATTTATATTTTCTTAAATATTATAGGTGTTGGTGCAACAGCGGTTGTGTATGGTGCTTATTGCAAACCCAGAGGTGAAAAATGTGCCATCAAAAGGATAAATTTAGAGAAATGGAATACATCCATGGATGAACTTTTAAAAGAAATTCAGGTATTTTTTTTAACATATTTATTGTTTTATTGACTAGTAATTTAAATTAATAAAATGTTATTAGAGTGTTTAACTTTTATAAAGAAATTAACAGGTCAATGAAAATATAATATTTAAATGAAACAAATTTCAATGGGTTAGATGCACTGATTTTATTTATTTATTGACGTTTCACTCAATGAAAGTATTTCAAGGGTAGTAAATAAAAAAAAACTGATGATGTATTCCTGCAGAGGATGTGAAACATCAATAAATAAATGAAATCAGTGCATCCAACCCAATGAAACTTGTTTTATTCAATAAGTGATGTGAGTGAAAAGCTTAGAAACAAATATAATATAATATTCCTTTTTGCAGGCTATGTCTAGTTGCAATCATGAGAATGTAGTAACCTATTACACCAGTTTTGTGGTAAATGATGAATTATGGCTTGTACTGAGGTTACTGGAAGGTAAAATATAATTCCTTTTTGAATTTCTTAAGATTAAGATTTTAAAGTTCTACTATAACACAGCTATTTTATTATAATGATAAATTTATTTATTTCAGGCGGTAGTCTGCTAGATGTTATAAAACATAAAATGAAGGTTACGAATTGCAAACATGGAGTTTTTGATGAAGCAACTATTGCAACAGTCCTCAAAGAAGTTCTGAAAGGCCTTGAATACTTCCATAGTAATGGACAAATACACAGGTAAATAGGAAGCTAAAATTGTTATTTGGAATTGTAGACAAATTACTGAAAAATATAACATATGAGATACATTTTGTAAAACAATGTATTGAATTAATCGAATGTGAGGATCTCCATTATCTAATACTCATGACCCTGAATGAATACTGTAATTAAACGTGAATGAATATATTGTTTGAAAAAATTACTTACATTGATTTGCTTATGTAAATAAGATCTTGTGTATAGAACTAATAAGAAGTAAAATACCTAGTCCATATTTTGAATATAATTCTTTGATAAGATTTCTTGTGTGCATTGCGAATTGTTTAAAAGCGATTGGTTTTCTTATTTATGCATAATTTAGCTTTTCATTATTTTTATGAATAATTTTAATTAAGATGTGATATTCTATAGTCTTGGGAGATTTCGTGTGATTGTTATGAATTATAATCATATAGAATCTTCTCTCCTCCAAGACTCAGCTAAGCGAAGCGTCAAAATCAAATAAAACTTAATAAGCCGTTTTGATAACCTTGTAAAATTGGGCATTTGCCTATCTGAACTTTGGTTTTGCATAATTTTGACATAATCAAATGAGATCCTCTTCAGCGGAAAATAACATAATGGTCTGTATGAACACTATTATTTCAAAATCTTCTGAATGGATTTTCATGATGGTTTCACCACACAATGATGTTCTTTTTTAACGGAAGTGCTTTATGTATCCATTGAAGCAAAGTGATGGAAGGCCACTAGTTTTTTCTATAATCATTGACAGAAGCTTGTTGCTAGTTATTTTGAGTTTTTTTTTAAGTTTATGTGATGTTTGAGCCAGTATTTCTAATTTTGATTATGCAAAATATTTTAACTATAATTTTATAAGCCATTTTGCGAATTTTTGATTTTGTCAAATAACCTTGATCATAAGAAAGTTTTGTACAGACTATTTAAAATTAACTGAATTTACATATACTGCTGCATTTGTAATTGCTTAATGTGTTTGGTTAGTTTGTTTGTATTATGTGAATGTGTAAAGATATTTTTATTTATTTAAATTTTCTATAGATTTAAACATCTAGTTGCAAGCACATAGAAAGACCCAAGACCTAGCTCAGCAAAGCATCAAAATCAAATAAAACTTAATAAACCGTTTGGAGTACCCTGTGCTTAAAAAATAAAAATATAACTATATTTTGTTTATCCTATTATAATATTATAAATGTGAAAGTTTCTATGTTTTTTTGTATGTTTGTTACTCAATCACGCAAAAACAGCTTAACGGATTTGGATAAAATTTGGCACACATATAGTTTATTGCCTGGATTGAGACATAGGATACTTTTTATTACGAAAAAATTTTGGGTTCCTGAGGGATTCTTAAAAATTCAAAGTTTACGTGGACGTGAAGTCGCGGGCGGCTAGTTATTTCATATCAGTTATTTTGTCAAATTTATCACAGTATCTGTTGTGTAGTTTATAAATCTTTTACTCCAAAACATGGGAACCAAGGAGGTAATCAACACCATCCTCCGGCTGTTTGCGTTTTCTTTTATTTTCTGGGTAATAAGCAAATTATCGCACAGCGTCTTGAAGTTGTAAATCCGGGTTTGAAGCAAACTTTACGGGTGGGCTATGCGCAGTAGACATGCTGATTCACTTTGGATGTATATTGAATATCCAACTAATGCGTCGCGCTACGTAATTTTACAATAATAGGTACGCACGATTTGTAATAACGCAAATTATGAACGCGTGTGCTCTCACTGAGGTTCGACGATGAATAACCTACACTAGGCTTTTAATCTACACCTTTGTCTCACTTTACTACTAAAAAGAAAAAGAGGCTTAAGATATAGTTCTTATTTTCACCATCCGCACCTGGACATGCACGTCATTTTTCTTATAAGAAAAAGTTTGCTTCGTTAATAAGTTATGTATACTGTTTTCACGCAAATGTGTTGAAAAACGTATGACATTCGTGCGGATTGGTATTTATAAACTCGTGACTATGGTAAACCTTCGACTGCGTCTCGGGCTTCCATCTACTCGTTTGTAATAACCAACTTACCGCACTAATATCAAAAATAACTATTTCGCACACGTCCAGAAAATAGTCACTTTCCGCGTAATCTGTATACATACATAATATGTATAAAAAATATTTTCCGAGCAAATGCATTTAAAATATTATTTGCTATTAGTTAGTATAGGAGTTCCCGGTTGTGGAAGAAGTTTTGTAGGTAGAAATATTAGAATATCTATCAACTTTAGACTTCCTGAGGCATTTCCTATGTTTATGAAAAGCTAATGCGAAATATTAAAACTCTAAATTTGACACTGACTATTATCTGCAATTATATTTTTGACGCAATGTTTTGTCAGGAGGCTCCATTCCATATTTTTGGCTCATGAGCCCAAAAACTGTCTCGCTTATGGAAAAGATAATCAAGCCTGCTTGTGTCTAGTTATATCATTATTACAGAATAATCAGTGTTGTTTCTAAATAAACCTTAACAATTGGGTAACATTCAATGACGTATAATATAGGTAACTGAATTGACCAACTATAAAAATATCTGAGGTAACATTTGATTAACATAATTTTAAGGTTATAAATAACACTTAATAATTGTTTATTCAGTTTTCATACTTGGCTTAAGTATGAAAACTCAAGTTGAATAATTACTTATACTGCATTATTCACTATTATTTTTTGTTTTCCTCTGATGTTCTACAATATTTTACAGAAAACTACAGTATTACAACTAAGGCTATGTTTATTGTTTAAAGCTAAAGCTTCTTTAACTTTAAACAGTTTAAATAACTAAGTTGTACTTTTCATATCCTCATTTACTGCTAATAGGAACCATTGCCCTAATGTATTCCTAATTATCCACAGGGATATCAAAGCAGGCAATATACTACTAGGTGAAGATGGTACAGTACAGATTGCAGATTTTGGCGTATCTGCTTGGTTAGCAACTGGCCGAGATATTTCTAGGCAAAAAGTTAGGCACACATTTGTCGGAACACCATGCTGGATGGCTCCCGAGGTCATGGAACAAGTAAGATATTCAAATTATTCTAATTCAATTACAATGAAACTATGCAACAGGTATATATTTATATATGTAATATTATATTGTGCTCTTAATGCTGTGTTCCACCAAACCTAAAATGTAATTAACAAATTACTACTTATTTATAAGCAAGTTTTCTATCTTTGTAAAACTTGAGACGAATGAAACATTGGAATGAGTTTTTAATTCAATGAGGTTCGAAACTTTGCTAACAGATGGGCCGATATCAGGTGTGGTGCTATAATCTCAGGACCGTCCCTATTTTTAGGACCACGGCTACGACTTCAAAGCTGATATATGGTCGTTTGGAATAACAGCTATAGAAATGGCAACCGGAACAGCGCCATACCATAAATACCCACCGATGAAGGTATTGATGCTCACCTTGCAAAACGACCCTCCTAATTTAGAAACTGGTAATTACCTTTTTTAATTAACCTGTTAATAGATGCATAAATAGATTCAAGATTATTTATGGTTAAAAGAATTTTTCGCTACTAGATTACTATATAAATGGCACTGATGTATTCAATTGAATTCAATTCAAAAATCATTTATTCAGTTTATGCTTTTATAACCACATGTGAAAATCGAAAACTACGCTATCGGTTCGCAAAACTACGGCGGGAGACCTTGTACTGAGAGAAACCGGTAAGAAACTCCGGAAGGGCTGCTTTTTCTCTCTGTTTTATTAGATACAGTGTTGTTAAATTGAAAGTTGACATCAAACTTGCATACATGTATTCTGTTGAGATCAACTTCCATCGCATAATGTCAAATAGGTAACAATAAATGATCACGAATTTAGTCACAATAAGTGTAAATTAAGAATTAAACAGTGAATAATTGTCGAAAGCAGAAGTGTGTACACACTTCTATTATACAGAATTTTCATTTACTGCTGTGATGACCACGATATGATTACAATGACACGCAACAAATTGTTTGGTTAAAACTGCAAATGACAACAGATTTACACTTAAAAGGGATGGAATGTCGCTACAAATGACGCAACTCTCTTCCGTTTTCTATCATACAAATAAATAATCAATTAAGTTTCAATTGCTACCACGAAATATCACACACCGTGATTTGTGCCTCGTAAACTTATTCGTGTGTCTCTTTCGCATTTTGCTATCCAGCTCTTTTTATCTGGTATCCAATTGATATTGAACATTATTGCCACGATATAACGAATTAATTTAAAATAATATGTTAACGTCATCTTTTTAAGATGTACAGTGCTTATGTTGTTAGGCCATTGGGACTCTTATTGTAAATCAATGATAAATGGTTTCTGCCTTCATAGTATTATGTGCCAATAGCGTAGTTTTAGGTAAAATAAGAGTGGCAATAGTTACAGCTGAATAAATAGTAATTATAATAAGCAAAAAAACATTGCCATTAAAATTGCTATATATGTAGATACTCATGTTTCTTTCCGGATCATTATAGGAGATAAAATCTGTATTATTAATTTTACACAAAAGCTGGTCATCCATAAGGGTGTTGCCAGTTCCAAATCATAAGCATACAGAGATACAGATTAATTTATAGATAAGATATATTTAGCAAAACACAGTCGTGTAAAGTTATATTGAACTGAACGTTATGATTATTTCGATTATTTATATTGCAGGTGCGGATGAGAAAGAACAATATAAAGCATACGGAAAAACGTTTAGGAAAATGATTGTGGATTGTTTACAGAAAGATCCATCCAAAAGGCCGACAGCAACGGAATTACTAAAACACCCATTCTTCAAAAAGGCAAAGGATAGGAAGTACCTTACACAGACTTTGGTAGCCATCGGGCCGAGTATGGAAACCCGAGTGCATAAGGTAAAAATGATGGATTGTTGTCATATGTTGTTGCACAAAATAAGTTACATTAACATTGTTATCCTCTTTCCCCATTACTAATTATATAATTTGAATTAGGGCAGTATTGGGGCATTCCTAGAGATGCAAAAAACAGTTTATTTTTTCTATCATTACAAAGAAGAGAATAAGCAAAAAAAATGTGTTTTTTGTCATAGAGTTGGCTTATGAGTTTATATTAAAGTTTTCTGTTTATTTTAAAACCTACCACACATTTTTGATTGAAAATCACCAAACAAGCTTTCAACAATTGGTAACACTTACGACGAACGGGAAAATCCTCCAATTCCCTCTTCGGTTTATGTTTGTATGAAGTACCATATCAATATACTCCTTTTTCATTTCTCCCTCCGTACTAAAACTTTCAATCAGTTGAATATTACTTATTTTTGCAGTATATTTTTATTGCGTCGCCCGCATCTTCGTCCGCGTTAAATTTTAGTTATTTTCTAAAATAAAAGATTTTTTTCTAAAATAAAAGTAGCCTAAGTTACTCCTTATAACATCGGTCCAGCCATTTCAGAGATTAGCCGGAACAAACAGACAGACAAAAATTGTAAAATTTGTTATTTTGTTGTATGTACCGTATAATATATTCATGTAGTAAAAAGCGGTTATTTCAATATTACAAATAGACACTCCAATTTTATTTAAATGTATAGATAAGCTTTTTGATTGGCATTAGTAAGTTTTATCTTCTTATTTTTAGGCAAGTAAAAGGCAACCGGGTGCCTCCGGTCGTCTACACAGGACATTGACAGGTGGTTGGGTTTGGAGCGAGGAAGAAGACGAAGACGGTGACGCTCAGGATTCCGATGACGAATCTTCTACGGGAGAGGACAAGAGGCCAATGAATGAGCTTCAACTAGCCGAGTCTAGCGGGAGTGAAGACGAAGAGGTATGTACATTGACATATAAAAACAAATTTATTATAAAATAAAATATATGAAAACCATAAACACTTTCTTATACGTCAATGGGAATGTTTTAATAAGTGGCTAGTGACTACGAATTAAGTTTACACGTACAAATCCATACAAAATTCATCATAGCTCATTCAGATATACAGTTAAGCAATAAATTTATTATTTTTATGTATATTTAAAAATGCTTTATTGTCCTTATGTTTATAAGTAAACAACTAGTCTTTGAGTTATGTGTAAAAATGTTTAAATAAAAAATGATGTGGTGTCGAGGGACACCAGGTAGGAACGAAGTTCCTTCGGCTAATGTGCATTTAACGGTTTTATTCCACGCACTTTTTTCCACGGATTTTTTCTTACGGTTTTACTATCACATTTTTTTCAGTTCGGTAAGCTAGTGTTCGTAAAGATTGCTAGGCAGGACTGGCCCAGAGTTTATAATAAACTACAATGTCACAATAATCCAGTAATGCAGCCCCGTCGCTTTGCCACCCCCCTGGACTTAACCACAGTTTAGTATAATATACGACAATAATCCAGTGTTGGTATAATGCCACAATAATTTGGGGTTGCATCCCCGTCGCTCTGTCACCCTCTGTTAAGTACTGACCTTGTTATCATGTCTAGCTTAAGTTTACAGCAGATGACAGGCGTTCCTGGTCCACAGCTCGGTATAACGTCACAAATATCCAGATTTCGTGTAATGTCACAATATTCCAGTGCTGCATCCTCGTAGCTGTGCCACCCCCTACATACGCACCTTATTATCATGTCCCGCTAGCGGTCGTAAAGGATGCTAGGCAGGACTGGCCCACAGTTTAGAATAAACTACAATGTCACAATAATCCAGTGATGCACCCCCGTCGCTCTGCCACCTCCTGATAAGTACTCACCTTGTAATCATAATCATGTCTCACAGGCGTTACTGGTCCACAGCTTGATATAACTTCACAAATATCCAGTGTTGGTGTAATATCACAATATTTCAGTGATGCACCCTCGTCGCTCTACCACCCCCTATAACTTCACACATATTCAGTGTTGGTGTAATATAATAATATTTCAGTGATGCACCCTTGTCGCTCTACCACCCCCTATAACTTCACACATATTCAGTGTTTGTGTAATATCACAATATTTCAGTGATGCACCCTTGTCGCTCTACCACCCCCTATAACTTCACACATATTCAGTGTTGGTGTAATATCACAATATTTCAGTGATGCACCCTTGTCGCTCTACCACCCCCTATAACTTCACACATATTCACTGTTGGTGTAGTATCACAATATTACAGTGATGCACCCTCGTCGCTCTACCACTCCCTTTAACTTCACACATATTACGGGAGTATAATACGCCGCACAGCTTACAATAGCTTACTATAGCAAAAAGTGTCGTGACAACTTTTCGTAAGATTTTTTTCCGTCTAGCCCCCTTTCACAACGCGCGATAAGGAACTTCGTTCCAATAATACACCTAATTACCTATACCTTACTCTTTATTTATTGCAGGAAACTGAACCAAAAGAAACAAAGAAACCTTTACAAGAATCTAGAATGGATGATAAAGGCGAACCACATGTTATTAATTTAGTATTAAGGTTGAGGTATGTAACTTCATATGATTATTTTTAAAATTTGTTTATTGTTTACAGACATATACTTAAAAGATTCATTAAAATTAATTTATATTGAAAATCTTTGTTAAATTTAATGCCCTTGAGTTTGTTGGGTTGAGCAGGTGCTTTACATAAAATTTGAGTTTCCAGTACAAAGACTACTCGCAAAATATGATTGAATATTGTTGAACGACTGAGTGATGTCTCAAAGTGATTTTTTCTTAAGATATTTAAAATACTAGTCGCTTTGCTTAGGTGTAGGTTATAGTTTATGTTCTAATGCTATAGTTTATGTTATGCCTATGATACTAACAAATAACGTTGCTTTCTATTGGTGTGAAATAATGTTTTAAAATCCGTTCAGCAGGTCCAGAGTTTTTTTTTATAGCTATGTAGGCAAATGACTCTATCCCTCCTGATCTTAATTGGTGATATAGTTGTAGCCTATGATACTAACAAATAACGTTGCTTTCTATTGGTGTGAAATAATGTTTTCAAATCCGTTCAGCAGGTCCAGAGTTTTTTTTTATAGCTGGGTAGGCAAATAACTCAATCCCACCTGATCTTAATTGGTGATATAGTTGTAGCCTTTGATATTAACAAATAACGTTGCTTTCTATTGATGTGAAATAATGTTTTCAAATCTGTTCAGCAGGTCCAGAGTTTTTTTTATAGCTGGGTAGGCAAATAACTCAATCCACCTGATCTTAATCTATACTAATATTATAAAGCTGCAGAGTTTGTTTGTTTGTTTGTTTGAACGCGCTAATCTCTGGAACTACTGGTCCGATTTGAATGATTCTTTCAGTGTTGGGTAGTCCATTTATCGAGGAAGGCTATAGGCTATATTTTTTTTTTCAAAATTAGGGATCCGTAATAAAATTGCTATTTTGTAACACAAGGTGTAAAATGGAAAACCTATTTTTGCGTGCGCTGCAAAAACTATTGACAATAGAACAAAATGATGTCCGACGGGTTTGTAGATCCCATTAAGACCCGACCCGAAGATCCCACAAAAAAGCCCGCGAGAACATATATGTATCTAGCTATCATGGTTTAATCACAATAACCGATTTTGTGTTCAAAATAATTATTAAATTGTCTGAAGAAAAAAAAATTACGTTAAATATGTATCGTAATATTAAAAACACAAACAACCCTTAATTTCACCCCTCTACCACCCATATTTTTATGGCGATACGAAGTTCGCTGGGTCAGCTAGTTGGTGATATAGTTCAGACTTGAAGCTAGCTAGCAGCAGATATAAACTGCTACACCAACCATCTTCACCTTGCCTGCCTGCAGAAATACTTCTTCACTCTTAAACTCTTAAAGAACTTGCGAATAGTATGACAAACATATGAGTCACTAAATTTCTTTGTTCGTGTAGGAATAGCCTCTTCACCCTCACAAATTCACTAACTACTTCTTTATAATATTAGTTTAGATTTATTTTTGATGTGTAACAACTTTTCCCTCGCTTTCCTGCAATTTGTGGGGGTGATTTCGTGAAATGGGACGGAAGTGTGTAACAGGAAGTCGCGAAAGCGCACGCTTTTTGATTTGACTTTAGAACATAATGTTCAAATGGCTTATTCCTTTTGTAGTAGGTTTAATTTTTTTTTGAACTAATATAAGGTGAGGTTTCAAATGTTACACATCATACGTGACTACTGTAAGGCTCGCTTGCTTTTTTATTTATTTTTTACATACACTCCAATTAGCCTAGCCCCAAGTAGGTACTGGCTTGTGTTATGGAATACTAGGTTAATAGGTAGATAGAATACATATGTTGATACATATATCCGTATATTGTTATTAACACAGATACTTACTCCTGAAACATTTTATTGTCTTATTTTGATTATTTTTTACATGAGGCTTAAAATCATGTCTTATAATAATAGTAAAAAAACTATTTTCCTCGTGTAAATCGGGAAAAACTGTGTCGTTTATAAACAACGGTAGTAGAATGCACTACCATTAGGTATGCATGTAAACAGATAACAGTTTCATTACAATTCTGTATTGCAATGACCTTTATGATAAAACTAGGTGCAAAATTGCCTAAATATTTTTTATTCAAATGGGAGTAGGTATAATATACTCGAAACGGTTCTTAGAATGAAAAGTTATGGTAAAATAATTTCCTATTTACACGACTGCCAAAAGTAGTGTTTATTTTCAGGGTTCATGGTACTTTTTAACAAAAATTTATTGACTTGTTTGTGGCAAATGATCAGGGTAGGGTAACTTTGCTTCTCTGTATTTTAAATGTGGTAAATGCCGTGATACCACGACGACTCATGTTACGGCCAGACGTACGACCATACCATTTCTTGTCTATAGTTGATACTCTGTAAAAGGGTCTGTTCTGATCGACCTTTCCATGTTTTCGATAAAGATTGACAGTAGCCGGCTGATCTACACGGACATGTTTATTGTCCTCTTTCAAAAAAACCTTATTGTTTTGTTTGTTGGGGATTCTTTCGGCATTGATGCCACCGTAACTACATTGTTGTCGTGCCTTTTACACAAAATAATTTCTTCATCCCGCTTTGATCATCGGAATATACCTCGTTCTGTCTTTATCATTTCTTTGTTGGCTGGTAATGGACATTTAGACACGCGCTTTGTTCATATGGTTCAAGTTACTCTAAACTTTATTTGACCCAGTTCTTCTTGACCCAGTTATTAAAAAAATATGGAAGTATGCAAAGTGTCGATTTTCCACAAATCATCAGCATTGTGCTGCCAACCCGAGATTTCTGTATTGACACAAGTCTTCGTGACAATATCCTTGATAGGATTCGAATCTGTAGACATAGCCCTAACGAGTAAAATTTACCAGATCGCGGGATAATAATATACTTATATTACACATGTATCAGTACTAACACTAACAGTAATAACACAAGTCTTACGGTGCTTACTTTGGGGCTAGGCTAATTGGTGTGAGTGTGGGAAATATTTATTTATACTACTCGAGCCCCTGAGGCAATAATAACAAAAAATATTGCTTCAGAAACGCACGCCGCGAGTTGAACGACATTCGTTTCGAGTTCATAACGGGCAAAGACTCGGCGCAAGGCATTGCGGGTGAATTGGTCGGTGCCGGCCTGGTAGACCCCCACGATGCTGTGCCCATAGCGCTGCATCTGGAGAAACTGCTGGATGGACAGAATATACCGACGCCCAGCAAGGCCATCACATTCCACTTGGTGAGTTAGGTATATAGCCGTTGGATAGATCTCCATGTGCACAAACTGCTGGATTGGCAGTATGTACCGACGCTCAGCAAGGCCATCACATTCCACTTGGTGAGTGAGGTATATAGCCGTTGGATAGATCTCCATCTGCACAAACTGCTGGATTCGCAGTATGTACCGACGCCCAGCAAGGCCATCACATTCCACTTGGTGAATGAAGGTGAACGGAAGATGTCTTTATATAATTATTGAGTGAATACTAGACATGTTTTACAGCCCAAAAGCGTTCAATGCAATAAAATCCATTAAGATGATTTTACTTTTTTTTGGGGAGCTCGATGGCGAGGGTGTTTAGCGGTTTCGGCTGCGATCGTTGAAGTTAAGCAACTTTCGCAGTGGTCGGTCATTGGATGGGTGACCAAAAATCTTCTATCTCGAGTTCCTACCGGCTTCGGAAGGCACGTTAAGCCGTTGGTCCCGGCTACATCTGCAGGTGTTAGCACCCGCCAATCCGCACTGGGCCCGCGTGGTAGGTCATGGCCCAGTCTCCCTATTCCATCCACAGGGAAGGCCTGTGCCTCAACAGTGGGGACATTAATAGGCTGATGATGATGAAGATGCTTTTATACGGCTTTCTGAAATAATAGAATTTATCATTCGAGTGCTTTTCGATCTATAGTCGAGATAGTAATTGATTATATTATGTTTTTGCTAGTTGGGTATTGCCGGTAATTCTTGACAAGATAGCTGTATCAAATTTGCGTTACAATTGTAGTGTTTTAGTTGTTAGTTATAAAATGGCACTCCGCGAAAGCTAGAAAAGATGAGTTCTTATACAGAATCATTTATAAATAACGAATAAATCTTTGATATCAATGAGTTTGCGTTCAAAGATAAAAAACCTCATAAGCAACACCCGTATCTGATATTTAATTAATGAAATCGGTACAGTTTATCAAGTGGTCATTAATCACCCCACAACAAAACGTCGCGTTACAGTTGTCAGTGACATATGTCGACAAGGGGAAATAAAATCCTAATGTCATCTCTTATCTATTAGACAAGTCCGTCCGTCTGTCTGTGGTGCTGTTTCAGCGGCCAAACCGTAAGAGATAGTTAAAGAGAATATTTAAGTTATAAGTTAAGAATAGTCTGATAAGCTTACAAACCGGATTTGAGTAACGTAGCACTTCCGGTTTTCGAGAAATCACCAATTTCAAACGAAACCACACAAAATCTCCGAAGTTCTCAATTAATTAAATACATTTTTTTTAAAATCAGGTTTTGGTGAACATTTGGTTCACTGGTTTGCTAGTGGAATCCTAATTAGCTTATAAGACCTAAACACACACAATAAGTTGATGAGAGCATTCTAATTTTACAAAACAGACATAAGCAAACATTTTATAACCAAAATCATTCCTTACGAAATTTTGTTTCAGAATTCCACTGGTCCCAACGAGGAATTCGACGATAAAGCGCTAATAGGTTTCGCGCAGATATCTATCGTAGATTAATTTAAGATTCCAACCTGACGGAGCGTGTATTTATTTACGTGAACATTTAAAACCAACTGAGTGCAATAATTATAGTTTGTTTTTATTATGTATATTACGCGTAATAACTGATGACTCTGTTGAAATGCCATCTATGATCAAAACTACCTTAATATAGAAATAGTTATCATGAAACGTTGATTGAAGTTAAATCCAAGCTAAAATTAAACTGCTGCCCCCTTTTAATAAACGAAGACTACGCTTGGATTAGTTACTCCATGTTTTGTCCTTGTCTATCGTATGACAAATGGCATTTGAGTGATATGAACAAAACACCGCGTTACTAGTCTAAGGTTATACCTAGTTTATTTATAAAGAGGCTAAAGAATAGATATAAGCAGCATATAAGATTTAAGTCAAGTCTAACTTTAATCCACGTTTTGTCATAAAGGGCAAAAAGATGGTTATAAACATTATGAAAGCATTTTACTGGTTTGACTATTAAAACTCACGATTCGTCCTAGCGTAAAAATTGCAAAAGAAACAATTGTAAATAACTAGAAACGAGGAAAATAAGCATCTGATTTACACTGATTAATTTGATCACTAAATTGAGTATAATCATTGAAAAAAAAATGTAATGGTCACTCCCTTGATTACGGAATATGTTGGTACACATGAAGGTTAGTATAGTTTCAGATAATAACTCGTATCAGAGTAATACGGTTGACATTAATCTACTTTATACTCTAGTCTGAAATGGAATCTCTTTAAACAATAATGTCGCACAGGGTAATAGTTTACCTTTAGCGAGTGTTCAATGACAATAACTGTGATTAATATTGTATGGATTTTAATTTTAGTGGGTTTTATATGTGTTTTGTGACCTAAAATTAACTGCTACTTATGAATTATACGAATCGTGAGTTACATACTATATTTTTCTTGATTTTATTGTACTTTCAAATGTATTAATTTCTGTTAATTACCTAAAAAGGTATATTATTTAGGTAGGTAGCATCTGCCTACAATAGTTTTGTGTTATTTAGTAGAATCGCTTCGATGTTACACGCTCCTAGAAGTTGCTAATTATAAGACCGAGAATGATCTTGAAAATAAGATTTATTCTATTTTATCCAATTATCCTAGTTGTCTACGTATTTTTAGTACAAGATACGGCTGTTGGTTTCTGCAAAGATATCATGAAAAAGTGGTGCATTACAGTCTTGCCTGTTAAAGGCCTATTCTTTGTTTTTATTGATTCATTGAAATAAGTTGTTATAAAAGCTTAATAAAAGAAATTTCACACACAATAAGATAGCTATATCACTTCTATGGTATCGCAGATTAACCGCGGGCCATTAAATAAATATACAAAGTTAGTACAAATTTTATAAACTATATATTATAGTCAAAAATAAACAATTATAGTTACTTCTCCGAATGTCGAGTTTATCCTGTATGTTGGTTGAAAGCCTTTCGGCAAATTCTAAAATATTTTTTAGGCAAACCTAGGAGTACCTTTCTTTTTTAGTCAATTGCAGCATAATCTGTGTCTGCCTTTGCTTAGTCCAGGATAGAACCTACTAAGAGCTAATTCTGCAAATGTTGATTGTGCTGAACTTGATACATGTTACAACAGCGTTATACAGTCTCATCACAAAATAAAATAGGTGTGGTTCGATCTTGTGACCATGTTTTTTAAGTTTTAGGAGTTAGTTAAAAGCCGAAACACGCCATGGAACTTTGACTAACAGAGGCGGTATTATCAACTCTTAACACCAAACAAGTTCCTTTGTTAGAACGAGACATCACATACACACAGTAGAGCAACATCCCACTTTAACCGCTGTTTTTGTCTGACTTTAAGCGTTTTTAATACGGCCCCTGTTATTCAAACAGACCTGTCCCCGTAGCATGAGCACCTCAATTTACGTTATATCACGTTTTTTATCGCGTCTAACTGTCAAACTCCATAGTTGTTTGACAATTGAGCGTAATAAAAACGCGTTATATGCCATATCGCGGTACTCATGCTAGGGGGGCTGGTGTTTATCTAGCCATACTTAGAAGCACCGGTCTTCGAAGTTTGACTGCTTATTAAAAATATTACCCCACATCACTTAGCTAGAATTAACAACATAGGATTCGTGAAGTCAAATTGAAAACTACCGAAGTATTATAATTGATATTGGCCAATAATATTACGCTAGTCATTTGATGGATCGTTGTCTCTTATGACAATTCATATTAGGTATTAAAAAATATACTTAGTAAAATGTAATAGGATATTTTATTGTATTTTTGATTTAAATTGATTGTGAATATAGCGATGTCTTGAATAATTATTAAAATAGTTGATTTTTGTTAATCAAATTCAAAATGGAAGAAATATGTTCGTCGTACAGAATATTTTGAAATTCTGGTGGGCATTACTGTTGGCTTAGGAAAATGTTGTTATGTTTGCTTCAGAAGAAAATTAAAAGATTTATCTAGAACGTACGCGTTTATATAAGCTTTATGTAGTATATAAAAATGATTTAGAATTCGTTATCATTGAGTTGTCAGCTTCGCTAAAATTTTTGCATCCAGATGTTAATCAGGAAGTGCTTGAAAGTTAGGTTTCGGAATTCTGCCCGGAACGAGAGCCAGGCAAAAAAGCAAGTAACTGACTTCATATAATCGTGATAAAATATAATCTAAACTAAAAGAAATATCACGTGCTTTAGATCAAATTCGAACAAAACATTTTATATAAAATCTTAGTAGTTTCGTACTAGCGGAAAAGCTGTTTTCGCTGCTGATAAGGTTGATGAGTGATGAGTAACTATGTAAATATAGGCTTATCCCATAAAGGGAATACCCAACTTACCCGTTTCGATTTGAGTGACTGCAATTGCAGTCGATTGTCCTTAGCGGATTTTGCTTAATTTCTGCGCTCGAATGTTGCAAGGACCGCGTCATTGAACAGGCGAAATAAAGATCTAATATTATCCATATTGACAATTTCATCACAGCTTACGAGCACATTTACGCGTGTTAGAATAACAAAAATGTGTGCATGATTTTTATTTTTTTTTTATTTTAATATTTTTAGTACCATAACTCGTAAGATGTAATTGATTTATTTTTAGTTAATTTTATTATAGGTATATCGACAGTGAAATACAGACAGACGACAGGCAAAATCGCTTATAGGCCACTTTCGTCGAAAATGAGTTATATATGTAATTGTAATCAATTTGTTTTCTGCGTCGATTTGTTTTTGTATTTTAAAGATATGATGAGCGCTTCGTCGGCGCTTAAGTTCATAACGCTGAAGTGACCTGAATTTTGGTGTGTTTTGAATTAATATTGCTTACTCATCCTACTATTTGGCGTCTGATTCGATGTTTGCTTGACTAGAAATGTATGGAGCAGAGTGATTTTTGCTTAAGCGACATTAAATTCTTAAAGGCCACTAACTATGTAACTTTTGAATAAAAGGATATTTGAACATATTTTTTAAATATCCTTTTATTTTTTTGAATATATGTATTTATATTTTCATGGCGGTACTTCTCATTTACAATGAGTTATGATTTATTATGCCAAAAAAATCCTCCTTTCTGTAACGTTACGAAAGTGGCGTTAAGCGATTTTGTTTTTTCACTCTCCATTATTAGTTACTAATAAAAGACCATATTTGGCTATAAGCAGTAAGTAATGCATCACATTTTCATTAATAAAGCTTATCAAATATGTTTTTATGGAAACCAGCGTCCAAATCTTAGACTATCGTATTTATTTGTGGTGCTAGAGGGTGTGAAGGCACGGCCTTTCTGTCTCCGTATATAATACGGGCGTTTAGATATTATTGTAGTTTCCAGCACCCAGTAGAGTTTTTGCTCGTATCTATTCGACAGGCCATTTAACTTTTAGCTCGCCAAAGAAGTTATATTTAAATATATACATAGTGGCATTTAGATTTGGGAGATAATGTATTGTAAAACGTAGGACGTAAAGCGTTTGTAAAGGTGTAGCGTAAATTTTAAAACGAGCGTTAATTTTTGAGTTGTGCATTCGAATTCATATAAAAGTAAGTCTCATTTTGCGTCGCGGTGTGAATCAAACAAGACTTTTCTATAAAACTGAATGTAGCTGAAATTACGCGATTAAATTACGTGACTCCAACTAAAAAAATACGCTCGTTTGGCTGCACCCTAACGGTGGTATAAGGATTGCGAATATTATTAACAGAAAGGTAAAGGTTAAATAAGATGATGAAGGAAAACCTATGGACCATGTAAGTGTATATCGACATCTCCACGTCACGACGTCGTCAACGTAGAACGGTGCGGTGACGTAACGTGCAAATTAACGTAACCGTAGGTATCGTTAAAATTAACGTCACGATTCAGCAATGATACACGTCGCCATGCTTTAAAAATTATATGCTTCACTAACATACAACAAAAATAGTAGTCATCACTTTACGTTCTTCAACAATTAAAATCAATAAATCACAAGCAATATTCTCCGAAACTCCGACAAATTTTATTCACAACTTATCGCTAAGACAAGTTTAACTGAGCGAGTGGATCGTAATTACGGCTGCATATGACGATCTTAGGCGCGCCGACCGCACGCGCACGACCCCGTCCTCTAATCGTAGGTCCCTCCGATTCCGTCAGCCTAGGCACGTCTTAGGCCCGTATTATAGAAAGATTCTCAGTGATTGATCTAGTCTTGAGCATAGTTAGAAAGGAATGTCGCTATATATAGCACATAGCGACATCCCTTTCTAAATGTACTCGAGTAAAGATCAATACTTAGTTATCATACTGTAATACGGGCCTTAGAGTACCCTGACGACAAAATTACCCTATAGTAGGAGAGCTACTGAACCCTCCGAGTAACGGTCTGTCTGTAAGGCTAGAAATTCTTATGGTGATGAGCCATAGCATGCTTAGTACGGTAAGCATCGTCTGGCACTCCTCAGCCCTGCACGTCATCAAGCCGTATATTTTAGAGTGTCAAAAAAATATTAAAAAAAAACTTGTTGCTGAAAGCTTAAAATTTTTATACAATATAGTTTATTCATTTTTAAGTTTAAAAAATAAATTGCCAGACGTTTACGATGAGCACAAGTACCTGCCAGACGAACCGGAAGGTGTGTAATATATACATAAAAATAAACTTTATTCTGTAAAGTTAAAATTTATATATGTGTTTGTTTAAGCGATTTAAAGTAAGTAGGGAGAATGCCAGGTGGTTCTGGCTAGCACAAGTCCTTGCCAGGCGAGGAGAAAGATGCTGCGGCAGTGCGAGTAAGAGTCGTAGTATGAAAACTTACATAACTTAAAACTGCTCATAATTTGAAATTAATTACTATATTTGAAGTTAATTAATATATATTTAGTAGTGTGCATGTTTCTGTGAAGTCACCGATTTATAAAATGCAACTGAATACTTAGATGAAAATAAAGAATATGCAAGTTAATAAAAATATACCCGCCAATGATGCTGGTACATTGGATGAAGTCGATGTTTTGTTCTGGCAATATTTTTTCATTACAGCAAGAAAGTTTTTGTAACACTTCACATGAGCTTGATGACATGCAGGGCTGAGGAGTGCCAGACGATGCTTACCGTACTAAGCATGCTATGGCTCATCACCATAAGAATTTCTAGCCTTACAGACAGACCGTTACTCGGAGGGTTCAGTAGCTCTTGGGCTACTAGCCATCGCGCCTCCTACTCCTCCCACACAGGCCACAACACCACGACTACACAGCTAGCATACTTGCACACTAGCTTAGCATTAGGCAGACACCGTACCCATAGGATAAAAGTGCGAAGACCCGGTCTACACACGACACGCTATACCAGGTACAGGTACTTACCTAGGCCACGGTAATATTATCTATACAGTATTGTGACTCCGCCCTGTCCTTGAAAATAAATGCCTACGGCCGAGCGCTGCGTTAGCACGCAGTGTTTTATGGAACCAAAAAAATTTACATGTTCAGGTTTTTACATAAATAGATTATTTATACCCTAAAAAAGGCATGAGTTCAATTCCCAGAAGTCTAACTCAAATACTTTTTGAGAAAAAAAATCATGAACTTATCGTGACCTTTGACCTATGAAATCTAGAATATTTTTTTATAAAGTGAATATTAACAATATATTTTTTTAATAAATATGTGTCAATCGGGCATAATCAGAGGCGTATAAACGCGTTTCTTTAGCTTAAAAAAATGCATTGGTTTGGGAGCAGCAATTTTTTTTTTGTATTTCGTATTTATTGTTTTTTCTCCCTAAAAACGAAAAAGTGGAACCTAGAACTTCGATAGAAATAAACCTACGGATGTGGTCTATCATACATAAATAAGCCACGTGTCACTTTTGCGGCGATTAGAAGATATTCATTTTTAAATTTTTATGCTAGGGTTGACACCGAACCTGACCTCGAACGAAAATTTTTAAAATATAAATTTGTGTATTAGTTTTGAACGAGTTTACAATAATGTAGATTTTAGGAACTTACTACAGTACCTTTAACATATTTTTATGGGCTCCAAGCTCTATTTGCAAAAAAGGAACGCTTATGGTGATTCCCAGTCAAGGCGGAAGTCATTATAATGAATATCGATTTTCGTTTTCGGGTCTGAGTATTAACTATTAATTGTTTATTTTGTGTGTGTTTTGGAGACCCAATTAGACACAAGTTCATGCCTGCTTACCTCTACGTTTTTTTTTGTAACAATAATAGTTACACCTACTAACTGATTTATGCCCAAGATTTGTTTTTATTTTCTGATCGAATGCCTGAATGATTCTGAATGAATTTTGAAATTTTTTTCAAGCAACATAGTTCATTTTTTCGTTACCGTTTAGCGTGTAAGGTACAAAGTTAAAATGTGGTCGAACAAACATAAAGTATTCCTACATTATCACATCTACATTAGGTAGGTACCTAGTATATGTAAGTATATTGTATTCGTCCACAAGTGTTGTTAATTTATTCAATTGATTGACGGTATTAATTAACAAACAAAAAATTTAACATTTTCATTTAACTCATAGTTGACCTTTGTGACAATCCTAGATCATGAAAGTTGACCTTTATCTAAATTCTGTCATAACTTCTTAAAACCGCAAAAGTGAAACCTGATTTTTTATGGGTGATAGAACTTGGCTTATAGAACCTTTCTGTACTAAATCCAGGTTCCACTTTTGCCGATATTTGGAGAAAAAAATTAAAAATCGAAATTTAAAAAAAAATATTTCTCGGAAACTAGGACACTTATAAATAAAATAAAATTGCAAAATTATGCCTTCAATAATTCCTTATCAAGTGGCAAATATCTTATGTACAGATATGGAACCGTCTTTTGAGGAAATTAAATTGTTAATTTTTTAATGCTCAAATTTCAAAAACTTTGCTACTTCATATCTTTTTTTTAAAAGGAAATAGTGATCTGAGAATTGAACTCTTGCCTTTATTAGGGTATAAATAATTGATTTATGCAAAAATCTTAAGGTGTAAATTTTTTTGGTTCCATAAAACTGTGCGCGGTAGGGCCGCCCGCCTACAGTATTTTATGTAGTTTTGTTTTTAACGCGGGTGTAGGTAGATTACTCGTTTGTCTCTTTTTTTATCCTAACCACTTATTTACATATTATTCCATATTTTGCCCGATGGAAAAACCGAAATACCTAAATATTAGAAACAAATTACGTACTAGTAGATAGGTATATAAAAATATTTCAGGTAATTTAAAAAATGATATCTCTGGGTGTATTATTGAAGAGTTTAAGCAACCAAAAACAGCAATTGTGCTGTTGTACGATAATCAATATCGTCGTCGTTTGTTCTTTTCCATACTAAATTATGTAGGTATCTACTTAATTAAATCAAATATTTAGAATACAAAACGCACGTTTAAGCACGGCTAACTGCATAAAAAACAATTCAGACCGTTCGGTCGTCGTTGCGGCGCGGCGGCGCATTAACGACTGGGTGCCCGCCTAGAGCACATCGAACTCGAGTGGCGTAGGTATGACTCGCTTTCCGACCGTTTGTATGAAGATAGAATACTGTATGATATTATTACCGTGCCTGGGCGTTTTTCACCGCCCCCGACGACGGCTAACTAGAGCCGAGGTCCGAGTCTCAGAGACGCCCTCTAGTTGAGCCGACCCCCACAGGTTCGAGTGGTCTTGAGGCTCCAGGCGGAGAGGAGACTCCCCCCGTGGGGACATGCCACCCGCCTGGAATACCTCTAGAGGCACTCGCTAATTCTCGGCTTGAGGTCCCCTTAGGATCTCGCCGTCCCCAAACCCGGTGACGCTGTAAAGGTCATCTGCTACCAAAGCATATACACTTAAAAAAAAGTACTATGGCGACGTTGCCATACTGATCACTAGCACGACGTGGCAACGCATCGTGACGCGACACCGCGCCGTTCTATGTTGACAACGCCTTGACGTGGAGATGTGGCCAAACCTTTTGGCTACAACGACAGACGACAATGGCTTAGCGGCATGCGCTTAAGAATCAGCAGATAGTGTAAAGTTTTAATTTAAATTCCGAAATGTCAGTCAATGATGTGATGAATCTCAAGTTATGTAAAAAATATACCTATTTATCATGTATACCAAAACGTCGTATATATTTGACGACCTCGAGTGGTTTGTATGCCGGGTTTCAAGGTGCCGCGTCTACTCGAGAGGTCCCGAGTTCGAATCCTGGTGGGGACAGATGTTTGTGTGATGAATACGAGCATTTGCACTTTAGTCATGGATGTGTAATATGTATTTCTATATATGTATCAGTATATGTATTCTATCCGTTACCCTAGTATCCCGTAACACAAGCCTACAGTGCTTAATTTGGGGCTAGGTTAATTGGTGTGGCTGTTGGAAATATTTATTTATTTATTATTTATTTATAATACTATCGATGTTGGCTGCTAGCACGTGTCCCAGCACTACATCGCTCTTTTACCGCGTCGCCTACCTGTTTGCTGTCGTCCAGTTTGCGAACTAATGTAAACCCAATTTTCATTACATAGTTAAATTATGTATACCTCTCAGTTAAAGTATTACGTATCTGATGGGGACATTACAAATCTGCATTGTTTCTAGTTTATTAGTCATTTTTTAAATACTAGTTTAACAAATGCATAAATTTACTTGTCATTTCACCTTTACCACACTGGAAACATCACATTTTTATATATTTTTTATATTAGGTGAATAAACGCAATTATTATGATTGATCTGCTGTACGAGCAATATCTTATTACTTTGTAATAAATTATATAATAATACCATTGTGGCTTCGATTTTTCTATTATTTGAGGCAATAATATTATTTTCTGTAAAATTAAATTAATATGATCTTACTTATCTGTTTAAAATATTATTTCACATGTGATCTATTTATTTATCAGTCAGAAAAATGCTGATAAATAAATAGATACGTAAAATATACAATTCTGACAAAATGATCAGAATTAAAATGCATTCAAACGAATAATAATTAAACTACAATTTTAAATGTTTTGTCATATTTAGTAATTAACTACTATCGTAAATTTAAAAATTTACTCTGAATTCAATTTATTTATACATTCTAATTTATCGTATTTTTTAATCTTTTTATTTTATATGAAAATTATGTTCCTGTATATTTTATTTTTTTATTATATTTTTATATCTTTATTTATACCAAAATATATACAAAATGATTTTATTCTATTCTTTATTTTTATTGAAAATCATAGTCGCTTTATTTTTTATCCTCACGCATTTAGACCGTGTTTAATGACAAGTGTATGTCAAATTAATCAGAGTCTTCCCTTAATTTTTAGTGTGTTAGAATCCAGAAATATGTTCAATCTTAGATTAAATCATCAATGTTGTACAATAAGATTTCCAGTAGCGGTGTTTCCCTCATTATGCTTAGTATTCTATAGTATTGTGATATTTTCGAACAGTATATTATATGACATTACAAGATCCGATTACAGGTCCATTAACAGCCACTAAATTTAAGGTATAAATAAGAACATAATCATAGCTGAATTAAATTTTGCTTCAGGCTTTTAAATTTTGCAGTCTGTCAGTATTGTATTATGTAACAATGGTTTCAATTTACAAAGGCAGATTTTCTTTATTCCAGTCTTCAGAGGAGTACTTTAAAACAAATGCTTTAAGTGTTTGTGTATACTTGCGAATGAAGTAAAGCGAATGAACGTAATATGGTACTTTCAAAGCTTCGAAAGACTAGAATATTGTAAACGTGAAGTGAATGTTCTATGAAAATATCTGTTTTGAGCCATGTCAATTTTTAATTGAAAAACATAATATGTATTATTATAAACCGTTTTTTTATGCTTATGGTATTGTTTGTTACTGATATCTTTAGAAATATAGTCGAAACGCTCGCGCGATCAAACAAAGACACGAAAAATTCTTATTTCAATCAGATAGAATGTTAACTACAATGCAATGGTAACTTTATTTGAAGGAAAATTGGCATTCATATAAAAATTAATTAAACATATTATTCTTGTCATTGTTAAATTTTTACTCTGGGTCAAATTAATTATGAAAAATATTGCGGTGCATAAATTAAATTGAAGTAGCCTCATGTAGCATTTTACTGACGTAGTTAAGCATGTATTGAATGAACTTCCATCCTTTATCGCCAGGCGATTAGTAAGTACTTTATATCATTTGTATAGATTATAATGTTGCTATAAAGAACGAACGATTCAAAGATGTATTATTTGCATATTTGGGTTAAGTAATTTTCACATTTGTGTCATTATCACTTTTAGTGAAGCAGGTAAATGAAAGGTTTCCCAAAAAAAATTACTTGATATTTTTTAACTGAATTACATATTTGTAATCCTCACCTTGTAATGCTATCTCAAAAGGTAGGTAATTATTTTTATTTCAGTAAAACGCATTTGAATCAAGTCTTTATCATACTGCATTCAAAAAAGATTTATTTTAGTTAAATATAAGCATTTAACTGCTGGATTTTTAAATCTACAGAAAATTTAAAGATTCATTCTTGTAAAACCCATGAACGAAAGTATATCTTGTAGTAATATTCATGATAAAATATGTGTACATTTAATAATGATGATAAAGGTGAATGTTGTATTGCTGCTATTTAACAGCTGTGCCATTTATGTATTATATCATTAGATATGCATATTATATTTACAGACCTAGATATAGTGTCAGACTGTTCCTACTGCCTTAAATTAATAATAGTAGCTGCCCATTGCTAGGACCTTGATAAGTATTAATTTGTATGCAGTATAGACTATTTAATCGTGAACAAAGTAGCATTATACCATATGATTAACACAATAAACGAAACTATAAGATAACTGCGATGAACTTTTTTAAAAGCAACAGTTAATACCAACTTTTTACTTGTGCAATCTAGTTCAACTGTATTCGACATATCTGGAATTGAGTGTTGTGTTTCAATCATATCATGTAACATCGAAAACAATAAATATTTGGACAGATAACTTTGTATTCATTTACCATTGGACGAACCTTCTTCTCGTGTACAACTCGTTCCCCAAGATGGGTGACCGCTGGGTGCCGGCCGACGCGCTCCACCTCGAGCCCGTCCTGAGGAACTTCAACGAGAACCCCACCACTGTGCATACTTTGTATTCATTTACCATTGGACGAACCATCATACAGCTTTTCCTTGCCCTACCTTGGACGGTTTATTTCGACGCGGCCTTCAGCGCGGTCAGCTAAGCCGGGTGAGACCCCATGTGCGGAGGTTCAGTAAGTACCAGTGAGCAGGCCGCGATTTACGTAAAAGTCTGGGCAGAGAATCGTACGTGGAGTAGAAGAAGCTAGTGAGAGGGAGTGGAGGTAGGCGGTGGTGAGCGCTGTAGTGTTGCTGCTCATGGGTGTGTGAAGATTAGTCTGCGAACAATATAGTCTGGTTAAGGTTCATATCCTTCTGGGCAGTAGGTTTGTTTGCTCCCTTGGTTCAGCCAGGTAACGACAACGACTAATTATTAGAGTCGAGGTCAGAGTCTCAGAGACGCCCTCTAGTTGAGCCGAACCCCTCAGGTTCGAGTGGTCTATAGGCTCCAGGGCTGCGATTGGTCCGTATATACTGGTAATCCCTTTATGGCAACTTTGGTAGGCCTATCTGTTACAGGCGAATAACGATGTCGTTGTAAGGTAATTTTGCAAGATGCGTCACGCTCTTTGGCTTGAATCGGGCCAACATCCCAAACGGGCGTGCATGGGGAGTGTATAATGGGCTTTTTCTTAATTTGCGGAAGTGAGTCGGCCATGAGGGTAATTTCTTAACAACTATTGGCGGGTAGTTTTTCCTAGCGGCTTGGGCTTTCTGTGGAATTGGTGTGGAGAGGAATCTGTGCGGGGGCCTGCAGGGCTGCTTTGTTTATTATTTATACATGTGCTTTTTATTTTGAATTTGTTAAAAAAATAACAATGCAGGTAGCATTGTTTTTAAATACACAGTATAACAAATACTTAAAGTACGTATACAGATTTTTACACAAATTATTTATTTCGGTCGTTAATGTTAAAAAAGGTAATTTTTGCCTCTTGTTGAAAGGAAGAAAACCCAGGAAATCATTTCCGTCACCTCAATAAAGAATATACTAATGTTTATGCAGTCTACTGAGAATGTTGACATTCCCTCAAGATAGAATTTTATCTTTGGAAGCTAATAAGCTCTAGTTTTAAAAATTCACTATTAATACAATTTGAAAAGTAAGAAGTTTCTCATTACAGATCGTCCTCGTTTAATTTGGAACTGTTTTACCTACCTTTATGGGTTTAAATTTTTTTTTCCAAATATATGCGAACCATAGTGTAATCAGGGACCTATCTGTGTGATACTCTTGACGAATGTTAGTGTCGCCTCACACGGGCCACACGCCACAGCCACAAACGCCGCCACTAGAAGCGGCTACTAAAGTGGCTGAAGCGCGCGACAGCGGCCGACTAAAGCCCACCATTCACTACACGCACCGCGAGCCGAACCCCGAGCCGTACCCATCCGTGGACAAATCCGTCATTGCCCACACACTACACGAGCGTCGAGTTGCAGTCCAGTCGCTTGTGTACTTTGGTGAGCCTCGCGCGTATCGTTCTTCCCTGTATGGATAAATTCTTGCCAAAACTCTTTATGATCGCCGAACGACATGTTATTATACTCGTTCATGATACAAACAACACAACTGCAGGCCAATTATGCTCGCTAATTGTGATATTGTTTTGATGTCAATTTCACATTACTCATTACGCTCTCCGAAAAATGCGATATCAAAATGACATCAACTTTAAAATGATATCAACTTAAATGCGCATTACGTTCAACTTTTTGACATAAAACAGTATCGCATAAACGTCAAAAATGTGATACAGACTTAACAAGTTAGGAGGTGGTTTTTCTGTATCAAATTCCTTTTTTTTTAATAAAAAAGAGTAAAATGGCTCGTTTCGGGTTAGTAATGGACTATTTAGAACGAGCTCATGCCGAGGACATGCGTAGAAGAGATAAACCCCTTGTAGAAGAGATACAATTAGCTCTTTATGTTCGCTAATTGTGATATTGTTTTGATGTCAATTTCACATTACGTATTATGCTCTCCGAAAAAAGCGATATCAAAATGACATCAAATTAAGCGTATTATGATCTACTCTTTAAAATGACATTAACTTGATATCAACTTGAATGAGTATTATGTTCAACTTTTTGACTTAAAACATTATCGCATAAACGTCAAAAAAGTGATACAGACGTAATACAGAATTAACAATTTAAGAGATCGTTCTGCGTGCACGCACTACAAATGACTGACAAGTTCGCCGACAAATCTGTGCAAGCACACACACGTACGGATTTGTACGGCGCGGCTGGGGTGCGGCGCGGCGCTCGCGTCTTTCGACGGCGAACGCCGCGCCGAGCCGCGAGCCGCACTCACCAATACATTCACACGCGGATTTGTCCGCGGACTTGTCGCCAGCGACAAATCCGGCGGATTGGCGCGCCCGTGAATGGTAGGCTTAAGGTAAGGGAGAGAAGGGTGGGGAATCGCGCGAGTGACGTGTGGCGGCGTTTTGTATCGGCGCATTAAGTGGCCGGTGCGGGTCACAAGAAGCGAGCAACGACGATTTGTAGCGTGTGGCGGCCACCGGCGTACCGTGTGTGGCGAGTCCATATAAAATGTATGAAAACTACAAGAAATATGCCGGTGGCGGCGTTTTGTAGTTTTAGTCGGTGGCCCGTTTGCGGCTATACTTAGACCAAAGGTTTATATCGGAGTCATTAGTCCCAACGATTAACGAATACACAGCAAAACTATAACCTTTTATAGTATATTAAATAGACTTATCCTCCTCTTTACTTGACGAATCTTCGAAAGTTAGCTATGTAATATTGATGGGTCTGACAGCCAAATACGTTCGGGAGACTATCAGCTAAAGTCTAAATTGGATGGGTATCCTCACTCACAGGGACAGCGATCGAGTGAAGAGACAAATTTTTGGTCTTAATTCTTAATATTTATCGAATTTGAATAGTGCGAGTGCAAAAAGGATACTTGAATAGCAGCCCCATAACGGACGTATCAAGAACTTAAAATCAGTACCTACAATGACATTTCGCACTCGCAAACTATTCGAATTCGATATTGGTTAGTGGTAAGGGTATAATAGACCAAGAGCTACTGAACCCTCCGAGTAACGGTCTGTCTGTAAGGCTAGAAATTCTTATGGTGATGAGCAATAGCATGCTTAGTACGGTAAGCATCGCCTGGCACTCCTCAGACCTGCACGTCATCAAGCCGTATATTTTTGAGTGTCAAAAAAATATTGAAAAAAAACTTGCTGTAAGCTTGAATTTTCTATACAATTTAGTTGATTCATTTTTAAGTTTAAAAAAAAATGACAGGCGTTTACGATGAGCACAAGTACCCGCCAGGTGAACCGGAAGGTGTGTATTATATACATAAAAATAAACTTTATTCTGTAAAGTTGAAATTTATATATGTGTTTGTTTAAGCGATTTAAACTAAGTAGGTACAATGCCAGGCGGTTCTGCGAGCACAAGTCCTTGCCAGGCGAGGGGAAAGATGCTGCGGCAGTGCGAGTAAGAGTCGCAGTATGAATACTTACGGTATATTATTGATGCAAATTAAATGATGTGAAAATAAAAGTTATGGGTCAAATAGTTTTTATTATTATTATTATAGTTCTTTAAATTAATTAATAAATCTTCATCATCATCATAATAGGATTCTTAGTTGCTGATTTCATCATCTAAAAAGAAACAAAGTTCTAATACATTAATAATAACATTACATCTTTCAATTAGGTATATAGAATTCCATATATTTATATGAAATGTGTATTACATTTAATGTGTTCTTCAGCGTCACTTGACTCATTCTCAGCAATTAATTCTTTTTAGCGCATTTAAATAAAGAGTTTTTTACTTTTTAGTTATCGCTGGTTATAATCGAGGACTTCAAAAAGCTCATATTCTTGGAAAGTCCTTTCATTTGATACCCATTTTGTAGGAAAGTATAAAAAACTTTGTTTTTTTGTATTTAGTTTAACTAAGTAAAGTAAACTACAACATCTGGGGCATACGATACGATTTGAGAAAAAAATCACACCCTTTTGAATCAATTCACAAAATCGATGTCGATCAATGGCAAAATTGTTAGTAAATATAAGATAAATCGTATATTTAATTTTTTTCACATAACTTAAAAACTTCTACGAAAAAACAAAATAACCAACTTATAGTTTTTTGCTGGGGCTGTCTAGAACACTATATACCATGAATTTAAGTGACAGTTTCAGTTAAGTAATATTAAGTCGCACGTTGGTAGCAGTTTTGAGAACAAATAGAACAACTTGTTTATTGCATATTTGGCTCGCAAAAGAAATTGTTTATTAAGGAAATGTTTGACAAAAGATATTTCTTAACCCCATTAACAATTCGTTAGGTCAAGGGCGAACCAATTCAAAAACAAATGTTATGACCGGCCGTATGGCACGTGATGTTTACATTTAAAATTATGTGCGCTCAATTTAATCGTTTCGTCGTATTAATCACAAACTAACCGAAAGTTTTACCAGAACGAACTTTATCGCTTCATTTTATAAAGATAGGTAGATAGGTACTTATTGTACTCTTAGGTATATTGAACAGAATTAAGCGTGGTGTAGTTAAGATATATTAATTAATAAGAAACAAATTTCAGTATTCACTTAAAGAATGGTAGAATTTCAATACCTAAGTCATTTATTAACACTATCTTACATAACCCTCACCGATGATATGATTTTATTTACCTACCTACTTGCAAATTAAACGTACACTAAGTACCTAGGTACTTTTGTATCTACATAGGTACGCAGTGGCGGATTGACCTAGTAGTAAGAGTAGTAAATGCTACAGGCCCCGCGCACCAATGCTTTCTGACTTTTTGATATACCTACAGTCTCGGATTGAC